CCTGATGTCACAATCAATAGATCTAAAAACCATCAATCATTTTTTTAATTAAAAAATTAACATTACAAAAATTAAAAGGAAAATCATTTTTACCATTATTTCATGGAAGGATTAACTTTTCTTACAACTGGAACTTATGTTTTAAGAACTACATTTTTTAAGGCCTACCGCCATTTTTTGGTATTATTTTTTTTATCTTGGAATTAAAAAAAGTGAATCACACTAAGAATGTTTTTCATGGAATTATTTACTTTTCTTACGTCTAAAACTTAACTTTTAGCACTACATTTTTTAAGTATACTGTCATTTTGTTGGTTAATTTTCCTTCCTTTGACCGTTGGAATTAAAATAACAACGGTGTCTCGATAAGAATGTTTTTCATGGGATGATTAACTTTTCTTACGACTAATGCGACTTTATCTCGCATTATAAAACGATATTTCATTGTTAATTTTACCAAAATCATTATCAGAGTACTTCTTTAAAAAAAAAAATATCAAGCTTTTTGGTGTTTCAATAGAACCAGAAATATTGTAAATTTTACCACATATTGGTAGTTTTGACCATACTTCTTTTCTCTGTAATAATATAGTATTTTTCCAGGATTCGGTGAAAGCCGTCAGAAAAGACTTACATTGAATCTGTTCGATAACAAATTTGCAGAGTTCACAACCGTAACTTAATAATTTCGCTTATTAAATAGGCTGATATGATAAATATAATTTGTGCATGTGTCATATTGTGCATGAAGCTGATCGTTAAGCTCTGAAATCATTTAATGAATCGCTTTAATGGTATTTTATAATAGCTTATTAATGTATTTTATACCTAAAAAATTATTGTATAACTGTCATTAAGCTTAGACACCGATTCAATTAAGTTTATCTTAAAATGAAGCGCGATGAGGCAATATCATAGAATCAGATTATAATAAAAGAACAACTCTTTTAGTTTTAAATTCTTATTTTATAAAATAATCAAAATCAAAAACGTAATAATAACAGAACAAAATAAGAAAAATAAATATTAAAGGTAAGTACCTTTAAATTTGGGATACGTACCGCAGGTGGCCTGATCGTTAAGACACGGTTACCAGCAGATCACCGAAGTCAAGCATTACTGGCTGAGGTCAGTGCGCGGGTGGGCGACCACTTTGATCAGTCTGCGTAGGAACCGAGAGCGTGCGGTATTGGTTTTACCGTTTACTGTTTTATCGTAAAGTGCTCGACTTCGCATGCGGGTCGTTGGGCTACCGAAGCGGGGGTGCCATCCCCTCTGCAGTGGAGATTAATTGTGATGGCATGTCTTTGGGGATGTTTTTCAGACCCCATTATGCAGCTCTAGAGAGACGTAAATGAACTACAACTACAACAAAAAATTTGGGATACAAAAATATTTGGACCATGGAAACCCAGAGTTTAGTGAATCATATTCCTGTTCGGGGAGAGGTCGGGATTCGATCCTCGAATCCTCTGAGACCCACAAAGGACTTGCGATGTACGTGCTCGTAAAATCTGAGGAATTGAAAGGCCTGTGGTCGGTCGGCTGTTAAGGAATATCCTGGATACAGGCATCAACTCCTTTCCTCTTCAGATCTATGTCTAAATTGAATAAGTCGCCTCATGCATGAGGTCTCCTCTGCTAAAAATCGAAATTGCGAGAGCATGTCTTCTGACCATCGCCAGATCTCCCCAGATTGTTACCAATAGGCAGCTCCAGTTCGACGTAAATAAAATACGTACCTACCTGCAAGTATATTTTTCAGGAGAACAATTCCGTTATGACTTTTATTTATTTAATACTGATGACAACCAAAACTGGATCTTACCCTGTATCGACAGCAATGGACAACAAACTACGACGCCATCATTACATTTTTATGTGTAGTTAGAGTTTGAAATTAAAAATACTGAAATGAATATGCATACTAATATTTAATATTAATTTAACGTAAAAATAATTTGGCGCAGTTATGGCACTCTGTAACTCCTGATTTCTGTTACTGGAAAAAAATGCAATCGCTTCTCTTAAAATAAAACGAAGCAGTAAAAAGGACATTTTTTTTTCAAAATTAGAGGAAGTAACAAATTTGAAAAAAAGGCAATGAAGATGCCATAATTTTTGTAAAATGACAAGCCATGAGTAACAAATTTCTTAATAGAGATTATTAATAGAGAGCATTGCCACAATATGCTCAAATTTTACGCATATGAGATTGAATCGAATTACATGGTGATCCGTGTGGAATGATATGAAGATCAACAGCATTTCCATCAAAGGAATTCACCGAAAACAGTAATAATATTTCCCAGGAAGCAATGTGTTGAACTTTTATCTTACGGAAGCGGTCTGGGATAGAAAAAACTGCAACACGTTTCAATAACAACGGTATTAAAAAATGGAAAACATGCTCATTTAGCCACTCTTAAAACAAATGGCAACTTTCAATACGTGTATTTTAATAGTACTATTTGTTGACATTTTTCTTTCTGAATTGATTTTAGGTGGTGAGTAATTAATTCATTTTGAAACCTTGTTTGTTTTAATATGCGTTATGATATTAATTTTAGAATTTCGCCATTGTTTTTATAAATAAATTATACTTCTCTAATTCTAAATTTCCTTAGCTACTCATGATTTTTTTAAGGTTTTTTTTAATACTTGGTAAAGTCAAACTCGTTTGTACTGGAAAGTTTTAAAGTTTTTTTTTTCACCCACTAACTAAAATTTAGGTGCTAATATTTTTATTTTGCGATAACGAATTTGGCCGTTTTTATATTCTATTATAAAGGAGGCCAATGATTTAGCTTAATATATGTTGAATATGATTAACAGATGGGGAACCAGTGTCCATTTTATGTATGTATTTTTTCAGGCGCTGTAATTGCCAAATAATATATGTCTTGGTATTTTTTTTATTATGAAAAATAGTCTAATAGTTACTAAGATATATCTAATAGTTACTAATAGTTAGATTATCAGAGTTACATTTGTACTAAAATAAAAATCTCAAAAGAAGGAGTTTAAAAAATTTTATTAATTCAAATTCAAAAATTTACTAATAATTGATTTTGTAAATTAAAAAAATTTCAATCAGGAATAACCGTTTCTCTTAGATATAAATAACTGCAAATTTAAATAGAAAAAATTAGTGAATGCTGGTATTTTCCAGGAAATGCATGAAAATCAAAGGTCAAATACCACTTATTTATCTCTTACAGTAAAAAATTTCGATATTCTTTACTAAATCAAATAATACACATCGGGGAAGAAGGCTATCTTCCATTGACATAATGTAAACCGTTTCTCAAGGCTTCTTACGGCCCCTGTGTATAAAGGAAAAGCAACATTTCACAGCCGCAGCCGTTATTGTAACGGGTTTTCACCTTCATTACCTCCTAACCATAACCTTTCCCTAACCATTACTGGTGGTTTGCTCAGCATTTTTGCACTTTTCATAAACAGTACTTTACTATTAATTACGATATATATTTAATAATACATTTATGTCATCCATGTTGATTAAATCTGCTAACATATTTTGAGATGGAAAGAAAGAATAAATTGGCGGTTGACAGGAGACGGCGTACGCAATCGTACATGCAGAGTTGTCCAATACAGATAACGTACCTCCTGACTGTCACTATGCGCATGCGCTGGGTCTTAGATATGACGCTCTGATAGATATGATTATCATTATTTCGTAATTTTTAATATTCGTGTTCTTTTTTGGTATATCATGTTATACACATGCATACCAATCAAAATAAATTAAATATAATTTAATTTTTTACATAATGCTTCCAACTATATTTAAAAAATACCTTTTATTTGCCTAAAAATAAGATAATAACGGAATGATTTACAGTTTGCAAAATTGAAATTACTGATTATATTGAAACTGTTGATAATATGCATTTAAAAAAAGAAAACAGATATGCATATTTTGTTGCCAAGCACGCCAGTTATTTTAAATAAAAAAATTTCTTAAAATATCAATATCTAAGAACATATAAAATTTATCGTTACATTTATTTTAACATCTTAAAATTTTTTTGACTTTGTTTACAAATCTTTTTGTTGCAAAAAACCCCCAATTGTTTTATATTTGATAATATTACTAAGTTGTTAAGGTTAGTTTTCAATACTTTTACAAAAATTTTTTAGTACTTAGCATTAGAGTTGAGGAAACTTACTGAAAGATACTTGCTTTTTTGGTCAACTTATTGGAATTTCTAAAACACCTCAAGACAGCTAAACTTATTTAAGCAATCAACATACTACATGGAGAAAAAAATTCTTCGTAAATTAGCGCACTATATGGTCATGACGTATCTGGTAAAAAAAAAATTATTTTGTTCACGATGACATACCTACAAACTACGTTTTCAGCAAAATTCACTGAAATTAAATGTCTATAAAGTATGGCATGAGAGTCTATGGATCGGGGAGCTTAGATTTTATTTTTTTAACCAGTCATAACTAGGGGAGAAGGAGGACAAGTGTGGACATTTTTCACAAATTAGTCAAAAGAACCTTATTAAATATAATTTGTAACTCATGAAATAATTTTAAACATTAATTTGGATATTTTGCTGCATTCCTGTTTATACCTGAACTTAAAAAGTTGTTTAGTTCTTCCATAATATTTTTTTTAATTTTTGTTTAGGTTTATTCTAGCCCCCCTACAAAGCACTAGTGTATACACAAGCTATGAAGCTAGTGTAGAGAATTTTAATACCTTGTTAAGTAGCCATTTATTGCAAGTCAGAAAGCTATATCAATAGAAAATTAAATTAATTCCAATCTGAACCATATTGGCGGATATATATTGACATATATCAATTAAAATACTAATTTGTAATAGTGTATTTCACTATACTTTGAACAAAAATCGATCCATTTGAAAATCATAATTCAATTTGGTTTATTTATCAAATATTTTGAATTTCTTTTTTTTTTAATTAAAAAATAGAATTGTCAACTTTAAATGTATATTGAGATACAGAGTCTTGGTCTACCAGTCACTGGTGATGGAAGCGTGGTAACCATTTCTTCTCTTTAGATTTGAGAAATGTTTTTTTTTTAAAGAAAAATGGAAAATTCATGATTAGAAGAACTATATCCATCTTTTTTTCTTAAGAATTTCACATCGCAGCCTCAAAATCAATTAACAACTTTCACTCCTCTACCAACATAATGCACAACAATTAAAAATATTTCTATTATATATATACGAGGGCTTTTTTTTTCAAGGTCCGATTGGTAGCTAAGAGAAAATCACAGTTAGAATCAAGAAAATTTCATATGGAACAATGTGATACAACCTTAATGTACTTTTCGGCGTGATCGCCGTTCCGATTCATACGTTTGTCGTAGCGTGGTATCAATTTTCCAATACCTTCATTATAGAAAGCAGCCGCTTGTGTTTTTAGCCAATTCTTTACGCTGGTTTGCAGCTCGTTGTTTGTGGCGAAAGTTTGTTCTCCTTGCCAGCGTTTCTTCAGTTTCGTAATGTGACAATTTTGTCCAAAAACTTATCTTCGTCGTGATGGTAATGCTGGAGGACGGTGCCCATTCGTTGAGTTTTGTCAATTCACTCAACCTATAAATTGTGAACCGACGATTTCCGCGAATCGCCTGATCCACGCCCTGAGCAAGATCATCGGTTGACACTGACTTCCTTCCCTGGCCGCCTGCATCATGAACATCTGTGCATCAGGGTTTCCGCTACGGTAGCTTTTTTCGCAAAATGCGAAAAGACCCCTCAAAAATGCTAAAATTCAACAAAGCATTTTCGCATTTTTGCTAAAGAATTTTACTAAATTCCATTAAAAAAAAAGCTTCCGCGAAAAACCATGACGCTAACATCCATGAAAAAAACTTGATCAAACAAGAAGGAGAAAAAATCTAAATATCTTTCGCAAGAAGAACGCTAGCGTTCACGAAAAAAACGTGATCAAACGAGATGAAGCATAGCGATCAACAAAAATGGCGAGAATATATTAAATATATAAAAATTTTAGTTTCAGGGTCATATAATTTTAGATGGACTGAAACAGAGGGAAAGATTCCGTAATTTGATGCACAATTTTTTAAACTGTATCATTGAAAATATTACTGATAGATTGGGAGATTTGGATAAAATCGAAATGTTCAATATATTTATACCTAGCAGGATGCCCCATAGTTCGGAAGAATTACAGCATTATGGTGTAAAGGAAATCCGTTGCATTTTCAATTTGTTTTCGGAATCTCACAGAAAAGATTTTCAGTTTACAGAAACTGAATTACTTTGTGAATGGGGATTATTTAAACACATCTTAATGCAACGATGTAAAAACCGGTCATTTAATGAATTACTTTTATTTTTATATACCAATGATGTGTCTGAACACTACCCATTAATAACTTCTGTTATAAAGTATTGTGCAACAATACCAATGCACACTGTTGACTGTGAAAGGGGCTTTAGCTGCCTTAATTTGATTAAAACTAATATTCGAAACATGTTGTTAATCAACCATGTAAACAATTTGTTAATGATTAATATTGAGGGCCCTGAAAGGGCATTTAACTTTCAAGAAGCATTTGTAAAATGGGCAAACATGAAAGAAAAGGAAGATTGTTAATTATAAACCAAAATGTTTTGATAAATAATAAATGTGTTTTTTGTTTTTTGTTATAGGTATTCTTTTTTATATTCTGGTACATTAAGCTATTCTTTGTCAGATAACTTACAGTACTTGTTTGATATAAAATAATTTTATAAGCCTAATGGCATTTTAGCATTTTGCTAAAACTTTTTTTCAGATTTTAGCTTTTTTGCTAATGAATTTTTAGACTCAGCTTAAACCCTGCTGTGCATCCAGCATCAAAGTTCCTGCACCATTTCCGCACATTGCTATCACTCATGAACGCTTCTCATTATACACTTTACTCATTCGTCTATGAATTTCAGCTGCATTGCTTCCTTCAGCATGCAGAAATGGATTGACTGAACGCAGTTCACATTTGGCGAGAGACTCTATTTTTTGAAACATGTTTATGTGCTCCATACCTCAAAAATGACAACCGCTAATCCTCGCTTTCCCCTGGCCAACTACAGACACAGCGCAAGACATCTGCGCACAGACCCAACTGATTTACCTCCGAAGTTTCCCCTCAGCGACCAATCGGACCTTGAAAAAGAAATAACCCTCGTATATGCACATCAGACCTACATTAGACCCACGAAAAAATATGTTTGTTTATACCCCCTGATGTTGAAAAATTGGAACTATACAGAACAAAAGTTAATATTAAAATTGGTAAATTTTTTTTAAAAAAACAGTACCACACATAACATTCATTTCGGCTTTTCCTGTAACTACTAAATTTGGTCATTATAAGGGACTTTTGTTCGCAGAGGGCGAGAAGTGTGAGGATGAATTCCAGTGCCGAGATGGTACCTGCATTCCAAGCATCTGGAGATGCGATTCTCAAGAGGATTGCTTCTTCGGGGACGATGAATGGAATTGTGAATATGACGAACAAATCCATTTCGTGTGCAACAACGGGCAGAGCATTCTGAAGGCATATGTCTGCGACGGACGACCCCACTGCTACGACTTAACGGATGAAGAAAATTGCAGTAACTATAGATTTTATTTTTAAACGATGTAACTTATTTTATCTTATTTTTAAACGATATGAGTTATTTCTCAAGTCTTAAGGATGTTTAACAAAGGATCTTTGGTCATTCGAACTATTTAGCAAACAATCAGCTACTGTTATAACTGTTATGAGTATGAGACTGTTAGATTACGATTTGTCCAACTAAACTCGGATTATAAATAGGGTGCAGCAAGAAAAAAAACTTTTTTTAGTCAGTCTGCAACTCTTATAACTGTTGTGAGTTGGAAACAGTTTATGTTTCGACCAACCATACTGATAATATGATGCAAAACAAAACTATAGTCAGTCAGCTACTTTTAAAACTCTTATGAGTTCCAAACTGTTGGATTACGCTTTGCTGATAATTAATATGCTCCAATGAATTAGTCTCTTCGGATAAATGAATTTCATGTGCAAATTTTTTCCATTCGCTTAAAAGTTCACATGATAAAGCAAAATAAGCAGAAAGTTCACGAGATATAGGGAAACATGCAAAGAGTGCACTTAAAAAGTAATATTAAAAGGCCTAACCTTCCGATCATTATCTAAACTATTAGAACCATGTTATCCAGACTGCGGTTACCTTCCTCCTCCCCTATATATATATATATATANATAAAAATCATTCTTTATATGCGTCGATATCGAACCAAACCCCGTCACCGTATTTCGTATGGTATTTTCATGTGCGGTTGACCATGACCTTCCTAAACAAATTCCAATGGTACGACACGGCTTGTTATTTTGATTATCTGAGCTTCATAAATTTTCGCCTAATTTTACTGTAGTATACTTAAGTGTAACAAAAAAAAAATTATTTTGGCCAACCCTTATAGAGCCGTCAGTAAGAGCAGAGGATTGGTTTCATTTTAAGTTTGATTAGCAGCCTTTGATGCTCATTGAAAAACAAAAATGTTCTGACCGCAAGGATGAATGAAGAACTGATATTTGATGCTTTTGCTTTTTTCTATTTCAGTAATAATAGTTGGTTTTTAATTAATGGTTTGTCTCACATTAATATCATACGACATTTTGATATCTGAATGTTATTTTGCTCAAGTATATACTCGTACACTTAAAACTATATGCTGTTAGAGACTATCATGCACACTATGTACGCGCATAACCTTCCTTCCATAACTTTTCCTTGGCGAAAGAACTTATTATTTATATTTCAGCTAGCAGCAACTGCGTTGGATTCTACTGTCCTGAAGGATCGTGCTTTCCTTTAACTTACGAGTGTGATGAGGAGATGGATTGTGAGGATGGTCGTGATGAACACAATTGCACAATGTTATGTGATGGATTTAAATGCTCTGATAACATCAACTGTATAGCGAATGACAACATTTGCGATGGAAATGACGATTGTCCTGATGGCTCTGACGAGATGGATTGTGGTCAGTAAATTTTTAATCAGAGAGCAAACGCATACGAATGTATTATTTCCAATGCAAAGTGTGAAAACAAAACATAATCCCCAACTAACTTTTGATCTAACAATCGCTTTTTCATAATTCAAAAAAAAGACTTATCAAAGAAATTTTCTTTAATTAGTGTTAAACATAAAGTATTTGGTGATGTACTGCCATACATGAATACACTTTCTATGAATATACGTAGATTTATTCATAAGTTTGTTTATTTTATTTTAAATTTTTTTTGTTGTCATTTTTAAATTTTTTTAACTTTGCTGTTTTCAAAATGGGCGGTCGTGCGAAACACGTGTTTTGCATAAAAGAGTACTCCTTAATTTCATTCAAAGATTGGAGGAAAAAAATCGTTGTTTTTAAGAAAAAATAATAAATTTTCCTTTTGTTTATTTAAAACACTTCTTATAAACATTCTTAATAAAAACCCTGAATTACTATTGTTTAGTGTACTTTTTCCTATATATTTTTAATTGAGTCAGAACGAAGCTCCCTTGTAAACCACATTTCTTTTAAAAATGTAAAAATAAATAATTCATTGGGCGCTTTGAGATTTTTAACATAATTGGCAGTCTAAATAACATCAAAGCGATTTTTGTATTTTACTCTGCAGGAATCCAAAAATCGAAAGAAAACAGGAATGAAGCAAGAAAAATTATTATTTTTTAATTATATTTATTTAATTAACTTTTATGTGTCCCGTCACGGGTTCAAATATATAAAAAAATAATAATAAAACTAAATAATAATAAGGAGAAAAACAAATAAATAAATAAACAACTGAATTTGTTTAATTTTATTAAGAAAAATTCCATCTCGAAAATCCAAGTAGGAAATTGAATAAAAATTTCGGGGCTTACGTACTTTTCATAGAAAATATACAGAGTGTGCTAAATGCTAAAAACAAAATAATAACGCTACGAAAAGATTTTTTTAAATCTTAAAGCAGAAATATGTTCTCATTCATAGAGAGACAAAATAAAAACAGTGTTAAATGGAGAATTTATTACAAAAAAAATATAGTTAAAAAAATTTTATGAAATATTTTTCACTTATAATTGCTGTGTTAGGATAAAAGTGGCTATTCATACTCCTGGAAGAAATGGCCATTTTATTCCTCAGCTATCGATACTGCATCGATGCAGTTATCGATAGTTTTATTCCTCAGTTACCTCCCAGATAATTCTCTTTAATTTGGTTAATAATGCAGCCGATTATAAGAGGACAATTTCATAATAAGAGAAGAATAACAAAGTGAAAATATTTCCTAACCTTTGTTCTTTTTATTTTTCCTTTAGTTCTTTCGTTAATAAGTTTTTCTCTGCATGAGAAAAAATATCTTTTTTTACTTAAAATTAAAAAATTATTTTTGCAGTATTGTTATTCTGTATTAAACATTTAGCAGTTTGTATCTTTTCCTTGAAAAGCACATAACTGAAAAACTATTTCACGTAAGCAAAGCAATTTTTGTTTAATTTTCTTCAGTGGTTCTAAAGAGAAATTTTTTATAATAAATAAGAACGAAAAGATTCAATTGCTTACGAATAACTGAGTATTATTATTATTATTATTTTTTTATGAAACCAATGACAGAACATTGTTTTATAAAAATTTATTAATTTTCTATATTTCTAGTTACAGTTGAGAAATTTTTGAATCAGACGTCAGATTTATGTAACTGTTCAATTTTCGATAGGTTGAAAATCGTAAACAATGGGGACATTTCAGTATACTTTATATGTAAATTGATGAAAAGCTTCGTTCGCTTCAAATATATATAAATAGGAAATAACAGTCGATATGCTTCAAGCTCTATGAAAATTGTCTCCCATTTTCAAGACTTGGCAAACTTGAATGAAAAGAAACAAAAATGATTTTAAATATAAAATGTAAAATTGCCAATTAAAATTTAAAGAAAGGTGAAGAACAAAACTAGAGAAACCACATTTTTTTCTCTTTGGGCTACTGGAATTTTTCTAATTTTGTTCCCTGCAATTTTGTTTTCCTTTTTTTTCATATGTTTTCTTTTTATTCACGTCTGTAAAGTCTTGAAAATGGACGCCTATTTTTGGAGCGCTTGAAGCATGTCGACTGTTATTTCCTATTCATATATTTTTGAAGCAAATGAAGTTTTTGATCAGGTAATATCTTACCTCTTAAGTTTCTTGGGATCATTTAAGTCATTTTTTCTAAGTATTCAAAAGAAAAAAATTAATTGAAGCTTCAACTGTGGATAATGTTTTCGCCATTAAAAATAATAAAAATACTGTATGGAAAAAAAAACTTTGTAAGATATTTTAATAGTTTAGAAAAAAGGAAACGAAAAAGAAATGAAAAAAAAAAAAAAAAAAACAGTTGGACAGACTTTAAAAAAAAAAATAGCATAATATTTTAATAATAGAAATAAAAGAACATACAATAATTACTGCATTTTTTATCTAAAAAAAATTGATTAAATTTTAAAATTAGTAAAACAAGTGTTTTAAACGTAACAATCCTGTTTCATTCAAATATATTTTTCTTTTGTATCAAGTTCTGTATCATTTTACAGATGGATTAAGAGAGTATCAAGCCAACTCTGAGAATGTGAAGAATGAAAAGAAACGGCGCATGAAAGAGGAAATTTACAGAAAAATCCATTCCAGATCATCTCCAAACTTGTTTGTTTCTTATGGATGATAATAAAAATAATTTTAGAAAAAATGATTGACGGATTGAGTTAATAAGATATAAAAATTTGAATGCATTATCATTCCGAAATATTCTGCGCAGAAAGTTAATTAGGAAGATAAAATATAAAATTCAATAAATAATTATGTTACAATATTAATTGGATACTTGAACTTCAAGAAGAAGATCACGGATCATGTGATCTATGACGTCATTGCTATCTGATCATTTATAAGCGAAATGGCGATTCTAGACAATTATTTTAAAAACAACATGAGATATCCTTTTTACGGTGGTGTAAATTATGAGAAACTCTAATTTTGAGATAAACACATTTAAAGATTTAAAATCAATACATTAACATGGCGCATTTAGTTTGATGAATGTTTTAGTTTAGTCTATCCACTGTTATGATCTTGCACAAAAACTGCTATGACTTTGTAAATAATTAGAGTACAAACAAAAGTAAAGTATTTTTAAAAAAATCTAAGAGTACAAGTATTCTAAATTTACAGCAAACTCAATTTATAAAACTTTGATCAAAATCTTGTTTTCGCACTAGTTTACTAGTTCTTATTGTAACCTTAAAACAATAGTCATAATATATTTTTTTTAAACTTACTCTATTTCTCAAAACTATTTTCATTTGATAGATTATACTTCTGTTTCTCGATTAATCATTAATTATTTTTAAGAAAAATAATCATAATTTATGTTTTAAAACTTAATCTCTGAAACTTAATCTAATTATGAATAATTGTAAAAAATATATTTAGCAATAAGTTAAGTAAGTTAAGTTTATTAAAAAGACCTGGAAATATTTAGTTACATAAAAGGTCAAAGGAATTTTATAGGGATCATGTGTTGACATATATATATATATATATATATATATATGTCAACACATGATCCCTATAAAATTCCTTTGACCTTTTATGTAACTAAATATTTCCAGGTCTTTTTAATAAACTTAACTTACTTAACTTATTGCTAAATATATTTTTTACAATTATTCATAATTAGATTAAGTTTCAGAGATTAAGTTTTAAAACATAAATTATGATTATTTTTCTTAAAAATAATTAATGATTAATCGAGAAACAGAAGTATAATCTATCAAATGAAAATAGTTTTGAGAAATAGAGTAAGTTTAAAAAAAATATATTATGACTATTGTTTTAAGGTTACAATAAGAACTAGTAAACTAGTGCGAAAACAAGATTTTGATCAAAGTTTTATAAATTGAGTTTGCTGTAAATTTAGAATACTTGTACTCTTAGATTTTTTTAAAAATACTTTACTTTTGTTTGTACTCTAATTATTTACAAAGTCATAGCAGTTTTTGTGCAAGATCATAACAGTGGATAGACTAAACTAAAACATTCATCAAACTAAATGCGCCATGTTAATGTATTGATTTTAAATCTTTAAATGTGTTTATCTCAAAATTAGAGTTTCTCATAATTTACACCACCGTAAAAAGGATATCTCATGTTGTTTTTAAAATAATTGTCTAGAATTTTTCTTCGTGTTAATGAATAGAGCACATGTGTTTNTTTTTTTTATTGAAAGGTTAATTAAGGTGTCCACTTACATATTCGGTTACTAATTTTTATTTGTTTAAACAAAATTACTTTGTTACAATATAATATTCTAATACCAAAAAAAGTACTTGCGTGGCGTGAAAATATCTTTTGTGATGTAACTCTTTCAAAAGTACATAAAAATGGTTGCCATCAGGGGTGTACATGTAGATTTTTTAAATACACCTTGTGCGCCACCTAGGAACCAAATCTGGAACCCAACACTCGAAATTTTTGCTCTGTTACAATCGTACCCTGTTACAATTGACCCCACTCTCCCCTACTCTCCAATAAGACACTTTCTGTTTTTGAATATTTTTTAAAAAATTTCACATGAATTGCAAAAAGGATTCTTTTATAACTTTAGAGATGTTTAGTTCATGCGAGTTTTCATACTTAACGATGCGATTTATGGCTTTCAGAGGTTTGAGAGACCAACAATGCGATTTATGGCTTTCAGAGGTTTGAGAGACCAACAATAAATTACGAAAGAAAACAAGTATTTCTGGACACTCGCAATGTCCGAAAATTAAGCAATAAGCTTGTAACTTATATCGATTACTGAAATTGTTATTTTTAACTGTATGAAATTTCGTAAATTTAAAGTAAATTTTTATAGAGTTATGGACATTTTTATAAAAAACAAATTTTTTTTTGCCTTATGATCTTTTTTTTTCTTTTTTTTTTGGCTATATCTTTATAAATATTTAAAGGAATTAGACATAAGGTTTTGAGCAATTTAAAATTAACTGCGAAATTATTAAGTTAAAATTTTTAAAAAATTCGTTAAAAACTGCCCTAGATATAAGTATTTGGTGTTAGTTATTTTATATTGTGCATGGGCAGAGAAATTTTCTTTTGAAAACTTTTCATTTTTCATTTCGAAATTTTTTTTCTTCTTATGAAAAACTTATCATAATTTTGTAGTGAATCGTATTTGGCAACTAATGAAAAAAGTTAGATGTGAATATCCTAAAAATTTAAAAAATCTGAATAATAATAAGTATATAAGTTCGCAGTATATAATTTTCTATTGTAGACAAACTTATTTGAAGTCATCTCCTTAAACCATTAAGATTGAATGCTAGTAAGTGAAAATCCGATGATTAGATCAAAAGTTATTCATGGAGTTTCATTAATTATTTTGCCCACTGCACGTAGGTACATGTAATGTGTTTATAAATGTATGTACTTGTAATATATGTACATATTTACATTCGATGTATGTGAGTACAATGAGCAAATAAAATGACCCATATTGAATAACTTTTGATCTAATGATCGTATCTTCACGTACCAGTATTACTTAATCTTAATGCTTCGATTATATATAAAATTACATTCCTGAAATTGATGAAAAAATTTGTATACCTTACATTTAAATTTTTTGCAGCAATTATTAAATAAAAATATGTATAAAAGAAGCAATAAATAGTTGTTCGAAATATTTTTTTTTTGTGTGAAGATATCTTTCGATAATCGAATTTAAAAATGCGAGCGAAAAGTTTTCAATTTGCTTAAAAAAATTCCATTAAAAATTTAAAAAATCCTGACCAAACTATTAGGACCATATTTTCCAGATTGCGACTACCCCTAAATTTTGGGGGTGAGGATTCCTAATCGGCCAAAAAAACATATGCATAAGAAGAGAAAGTACATCTTTTGTCTGTAATTTCGTAGCTTAAAATATTATCTGAACTAATTAAGTAGCATATTATAGGTTACCGCTGAAACCATTAAGATTGGGGAGAGAAGATAGGATCATGAGATCAAAAATTATTCAGGGTATTTTTTATTATTTTTTGTATATATGTGCAAATATGGCATACATTGCATTGTGTTTTCATTGTATGTACAGTAGAGATGAGCTAGGCTCCGAATGCACGAGTCCGAGCCAGCGTCTGGCGTGGACTCGTTTATTGAAAGAAGGTTTCAGGCTCGGACAGGTTCAGATTCCTGATAAAATTTTCATAAAAGTTTTTATTACTAAACAAATTTTGATTCAGAAATATTATGAAAAAAATTTTGATTCAGTTATTTAGCATAAAAAATTTAAAATTTATAAGTTATTAAAATTAGCAGCTATCTATTGTTATGTGATTTTGCTTTGTGAGGCTAGTGCTCATGTCAAATTACTTTTCTTTAGCTTGTAATATGGATCTTTACTTAATTTTTGTTTTAGTCATCTTACAGTTTCAGTTGGTTTAGTTTTTCTCTTCACTTTTTGCTTCGCAGGTTAGCGATATAAAAAGTTTTAATTTATTATTTACATTGTGCTTAGACATCAAAAACCAAGTGACGAGACCTCATAATCCTTTATCCGACACCTTTATCGTAGACTTTTAGACTCTTATATCTGATGTATATCTCGGGATCGGGAGGATTTGGGCTCCAAGTTATCCTTTGTATCTCGGGTTCAAGTGGGTTTGAATTAAAGGTCTTTGGACTCCATAAGCGAGCTCAAGCTCATATCTAATGTACAATGCGCAAAATAAAAAACGGACCACCCAGAATAACTTTTGATCAAATAATCGAGTCTTCACGTTCTAAACCTGAATCCTAATGGTTCAAATGGTATAACCTCAAATATGCTCATTAATTCGTGCAGACGATATTTTAAGTTACAAAATCAGACACAAAAACTTACTTTCTCTGAACATACCTTTTTTTCGGCAGATTTAGATTTTTTATCATCAAAGTATATAAAGGGCAGCCGCCGTCTGGGATATATGATTCTGATTAGAATGATATATCCTAACCATTCTGATTAGAATCATATATCTTAACTATTAATATATAACTTACTAGTATATACAGTTAGAGAGCGGTCAAAAGTTTGGTTGCTAATTTTACACTTTGCGTATTTTGCCATATCTCGAAAACTTTTAAGTGAATTGAAAAAATTTTTGCACACAATTATAAAATTCGTCTATCTAAAGATAATTCTGTGCAAAATTTTACTTTTAGTAAATTTTTACTATTTTTATCTGTTTAATAAAAGTCGAAGAATTGTGATGGCATGTCTTCGGATCATCCTCAGGGATGTTTCCCAGACCGTCGCCAATAGCCCATTGTGCAGCTCTAGTGCGACGTAAATGAACAACAACAACATTGGCGATCGAAATGGGCTGCAGGTGGCGTAGAGCAGAACTCTTNCCGGGATGTTTCCCAGACCGTCGCCAATAGCCCATTGTGCAGCTCTAGTGCGACGTAAATGAACAACAACAACATAATAAAAGTCGAAAAAAATGTTGAATTATTAGGTATGCAATTTCTTACATCATTTTAAAGAATGTAATTTTGCATGGCAAAATGAGAAATTTGAGAGAAATCGGTGGAATAGTTCTTGAGTAATTAAATTTTAAAAATGTGATTTTTTAAATTTTTTTTTTTTAATATTGCACTAAAATTGTGACTTTCGTCGAAAGGTGATTGGTGAAATATATTTTCTCGCGAAAACTCACCAATCAGATTCCTTTTTTCTCTGAAAAACGATCGTAAATGCGTAAATCTTATGCAGCGAGAACGACGCTTGACCAAACTTCTCATCTGATTGGTGCAATATCCTATCGCAAGATCGAGTGTGATCAAGTCTTGAAATGAAGAATAACTAATAAGTTTCACTATAACTGTCTTTGTATAGTTCCATATAAACAAAACAAATGGAGGTCAGAAATAAAACCGGTAGATTTTGTACTACATTAAACTCTATTCCTGGAAACATACAGTTATAAAATTTTCTGCATCTTTTCCTGATAAAATTAATGTGAATTCATAACTGCATTAATTTAAAATGAGTCTCAAAAACAGTCTTATTGTACTTTGGGTGTACATAATGTATGTTTTAGGCATTTGGTTCTTTTTATCAGGGTTTCTACTGAAAAGAATAGTTATTCATCAACATAGCAAACTTCCTACCAATTTAGGAGTTGACATCAACTGCAAGAATCTCACTTCATTAAGGGCAGTTGCGTCAGCATCTGAGAAATCAATGATTTACAACGAAACTCATCTGCAACGATTCAATAAAACCGTGATTCTTGTCATCGATGCTCTGCGATATGACTTTGCTTTTCGTGAATCTGGTTCTATGCATAATGAATTTTACTCTGACAAAATGCCAATTTTTAAAAAACTCCTTCAGAATGAAAAAGGTCATGCTATGATTTTCCGAACCATGGCAGACCCTCCCACAACAACTCTGCAAAGGTTGGCAGGTTTGACGACAGGAAGCCTCCCTACATTTGTTGACATTTGTTTTAATTTTGCTAGTTCTGAAATAAAAGAGGACAACCTCATTAGCCAGATGAAGGCTCATGGAAAGAAAATAACATTCATGGGTGATGATACATGGGAAAATATTTTTCCCAATCATTTTGACGTCTCTCACCCATATCCATCCTTTAATGTTAAGGTATGATTCACCCATATGCTTTGTTTAGTGTCTTGGGAAAGTTGTGGGTACCTGCGCCAATATAATTACCATGTGCGAGCAGTATCACATGAGAATCTAATTTTAAAGAAGAAATGTATTTTATTAATAGTTCTGTTTCATTTAACATATCTTACCCATAAAAAGCAAGATCAACTGTCATTGCGTGGTGACTACATAAAATAAGGTAGCCACATAAAAAAATTTCTGACTTACGTCCCTGACTCACCACTGTCTCTTTTTGTCATTTGACGTACATCCTTAATTGCACCCACATAATGTATATAAATACGTGTACCATTGTAACTAGCCTTAATTCTCCCTTCTCCCATTACTTATCAAATCAACTAACAAAGTCAAACTTTAAGAACAAAATAAATGCAAACCAAAATTTCTGTTTCTTTGGAGAACTTTTCTGTCATTCCTGCCATTATTCTATATATAATTTATTTTTATGAGGATAGTGATCTGTGTACAGATCTTGAAATACCTTAATTTGTAATAAATATGTATTGAATAGGGTATTATAAATATGTTTTTCTTTTTTATAGTAGTTCATTAGGTATTAAAATGAGTATAGCAATTTTAAATTGTTAAAACGAAAATATTCCTTTTTAGAATGAATTAACATCATGTGCTTATATTTGTTTTATTATGAAATTATACAATGCTTTTAGTTAGTTATAAAAATATTAATTTTAATTAAATATTTTTTATAATAATTTAGAAACAAAAGTATTATTAAGGTATATACAAAAAGTGGCCTATGGAAAGAAAAAAGTAGCCACAAGTAAAATTTTGTTTCTAGCCACTAGTGGTCACCAGATAAATTTCTGAATTTTGCCCTTTACTTACCTACATCCTTCATTTATGTTCAGTGTTTTCACTACAGCGCGAGAACGCGAGAATCACGCGTATTTTTTTCTTTCCTCGCAATAAAAAATTATTACCGCTAGAAATTCGTGCATTCTATAAATCAATTTCAAAATTTGCCAATTTCTCGCATTTCGGAAAAAGTTTCGAATTACGCCATTTAGAATAAAATCCGTTTCATTTTTTTACCTGGATCTTACATTATTTTCAACATCTGCCCCATTATCTAGCCTTCCTATTTACCAGTATTGTTCAGAAACTTTTTGAACAACAGAACACAACCACGGAACCCCTTTCAGAACACATTTCTCTGCAACCACGTGTTTACCATAGGTAAGGTTTCTTCATGTAAGACGTTCAAATTTTTTATGCACTTATGTAAGATGGACAAATACCTTGTAAAGAAAAAATCTTCTATGATGATGCACCAAAAATATTCAATGCTTTAAAAAATTGAAGACGTTAAAATGTATTATAATTAAAAAAATGATTTTTTTTCAAGAGTTTTTGTGTTTTTTTAGTTTTTAGAAATCTCATTTAACTTTTTAAAATCTCACCCAGTTTTTGAGAAAGGGTGAAAAATTCTCACCCATTTTTTTTCTATGATGAAAANTTTTTTTTATGATGAAAACACTGTATGTTGGAGCTTCTTTTTATTATTAACATCTCTTAACTGTATCCTTAATTTTATATCTATTCTGGTATTGTGCACAGTTTCTGAAAAATATATAAAGCTTATTTTTCTCTAATATTTAGAATTTTAAAAGCCTTAATAATGTTCTTATTTTTTAAATTTTACCAATGAATTATTATCCATTATTGTAAATGCCTATGAATATTGAGGATAAAAATATTTTTTTATTTTCTATTGAATTAGACCAACTAGAATTGAAAACTGAAGTATCAAAAATTTAATACAGTTAACCCACTTAACTTAATACCATTTGATTGCAGCCAAATCTATTCAATTTTAAGCGTGTTATTCTATTAAAAGGGGAATGCATTACTCAATCTTAAATTCTAAATTCTTGAGAAATTTTACTGTTCTAATGGTATTTAATGCATAGCATGGTGTTTTAATTAAATGAACTCAGTTTTATGATTAATAAACAGCCATATTTAAAACTGTATGTTAGTATCATAAAATGTGATTTAAAGTTACATAAAATTTATTCAATGTTAATGTTAAGTATATCCTAGGTACTAAATTTTTTTTATTCCTTCCAAAAGAAAAATCTATAATTGAAGACTGTTTTTATACCTGTTTAATTCTTCAATTTATCAAAATTATATTTTCCCTCTCAGTTTCTACTAAGACTATCTTAACTTGCGTATTTTTTATCAAATATGTTCAGATAGTTTTTATATTCATTATTTATTTATTTTAAATCCTCGAAACTTAGGATATTCGAAGTTGACTTGCTATTTCAGTTTGGGGTTTATTGTTTCCAAGATTGATTGTTTTTTTTCTCCAATTAATTCAAATCACTCCTTTTTGTGCTCAACTTGCAACCAACTCAGAGTTATTCACTGTAGTAAGCAATGATTATTCTATTTAAGAGAACAACACACCGCCCACTAGAACTTTTTCTCATTCAAGCTAATAGCGCTCGAGGAGACCACGAGTCTTGACCTTTAAGAAAGTCACTCTGTACTTTTTATACGTTCTATGTGAAGTAACGTTCTATGTATGAGTGTAGTATATTATGTTTTATGTGTGAGTGGAGTAAGTCAAAGAGAATTAAAATCCCTCGTTCGTTTACTTCAGTGTATAACTGCCAGCAAAATTTAATTCTTCAACTATATCCCTAACACCTGCTTAGAGCATTAATTGAACAAGAAGTCCCTATTGAAGTGATCACCTATTATTTTCTTTTCTGAAAGATGGAAAATCTATTCTATCTGGTAAAACATTTCTTAAAAAGAAAATTTTTCTTTTATTTCAGTACCTCTTCTTTATGCAATTAAGCGAGAACTGGAGAAAACAGATATCCCTTTAAACGTGAAAGTTTGATATTAGTTACATATTAAAGGATTCGGTTCCATTAACTTTTATTCCTATAAGCAGGTTATTCGATTATCCGATATGCATTTAAGTGGAGACAATTGTACTATTAATTTTAAAAAAAATAATTAATTTGGGTAATAATAAAGTTTTTTTATGTTTAAAGTTATCAGGGGTCTGTCTAGGTTTTTCTGAAATGTACCTATTTTGTGAAAATTTAGAAATAATTTGTGAAAAATTAAAAAATCAACACAAAGTATGGATTTATCGTTTCTTAAGGGACAAAATTTTTTTTTTTTAAGAAAAAGTATTTTGTTAAACTACCGTTTATCCTAAAGTTGAATTTGTGAAGGTACCCCTAAACGGTAGTAAATTCGGCCTGGATAGACCCCTGGTTATGTATTATTTTGTTCACTAAAAGTTCATTTTTTTCTTGTAGCAGACCTTATTTCATCAATCAAAGTCCAAATTTAGGATCACAGATAGATCTAACTCTCTAACCAATTCTTTTTCTTTTAATTTCATGCTTATTGAAAAAAAAATTGGAATTATCAGCATATACCATACTGTTTCATCGTACATAATGTTATAGTCAAATATTTCCTCTGATGTCTCTTTTTAAACTTTTTAATTATCCATGTGAAAATCTGGGAGTGAACTGGAGACAGTATGTATAAGAATGGCATACCCTCACTTATAGTTTGATAAAATCCCATTTATTCATCAATTTTACCATTTATTATCAATCGTAATATCTTTTAAAGTTTATTTCTTTGATTTTTTTTACAATATAAATTATTTTATTTAAAGTTTCTCAAAAAGTAAAAGCTCTGTGTTTGTGTATTTCTTACTCATGATAATATATTAGGCATAAAATACCAGACTCACTCCCTCTCCCCAAGAATCCATCACTCTTTTTCTATCCAATATCTTAAAATTAAATAAAAATAAATAATAGGTATCTTATATTTATTTTAGTGTGTATATTTTTTGTAATAACTGTTTTTTTTTTTTTACTAAGTATTAAGTAAAATTGTAAATTTATATGATGTGAAATAGGAAAAACTATATTTAACTTTTAAAATGAAGTTAAGTTTTATTAATGACATTATAATTTACAAAATTTTAAGCTCAATGTAGTCAGAAGCAAAAGATTCAATAACACTTTTTCATGTAATTTTTTTTTTAAATTTAAATGAACATAAAATTTTGACTTTCCCCACCTAAAAATTTACTCCTGTAACTCTGGTGAAAATATAATTAATTTGATGTTTGGTCACATTTTATAGGACTTGGATACAGTGGATGAAGGAATCTTGAAACACCTCTACAAGGAAATAGAGAGTGATGATTCTGATGTGATCATTGCACACTTCTTAGGTGTTGACCATTGTGGACATCGTTATGGACCAACTCATCCAGAAATGAGCCGGAAGCTACGCCAGATGAATAAAGTTGTTGAGTAAGTAAATCATACATACTATTTTTGCATGAAACTATTCTTTGAGGGTAGTAAACCATACAGTTAATTGTTTTTAGTGGTCTAAGTCGTGTTCTAAATGAATAAAACAGTAAATAAGCAGGGCTGTGGTAGCCAAGTGGTTAGAAACTTGGACTCTGGTCCGGAGGGACAGGGGTTTGACTTACAACTTTGCTAAGACCCACCAAGTATACATGATAAACATGTTCGTAAAAGTTATGGAAATGAAAGTCCTGTGGTTGGCCGGAGCAATACCATTAGGTTAAGGGATCTGGAGAAAATTACCTTCCCCTTCAGATTTATGTGTACATTGAAGAAGTGGCCTAACAAGTGAGTGGTGCGGCCACCTATCCCTGGGGTTATGAGCTAAGGTGTATTTTTACCTTTGTTGTGCTTTTTTATCAAACAAAACGTGCACCTTCTTGACTTATTTCGCATAAGGCCAATGGCTGACGAGCTTGACTTGTCCAAGTGTTGTAAGAAAGAACAACGTAAAACATTGTAGTTTGCTGAAATGAATATACTAAAAGTTAAATGAGCACTACTGATTAAATCACTAGATTATAAAATCAACCTTTTTTAAAGCAAATCTGCAGGAGTAGAATCATTACAATATAAAACCATGCTAAAATCGCCTTTTTTAAAACTGTTAGCATCATTTTGCAAACTTTTGTCACATTTTAGAAGTGATCTCTCTCTGCTTTTTCTTGTCTAAAATAAAATAATAAAAATTTTCTATTTTCTAAAGTTTTGAAAGACGTGTAGCATTTAAATAACAAATTCAATTCTACTTCCTTTGAACAAAAATGTTAATGTTACAAATGTTAATTTCATTTCTTAGGAAAATTAAAAGGTATAAGAATTAAAAAAGAAAATTAAAAATAGTGTAAAAATCTTAAGGAATGTAAAGGAATTTAGATGTATTATTGTTGTATGTATTATACGTAAAAAATTTACGAATTATTCAACTCGTCATTCACTAACTCAATCATTCATCATTTATTTTCAATAGATGTCTGAAGAGCACCTGATTTTTTATCATTAACATTAATAAAGCTGTCATTAAATAAAGATGGGGTAGTAATATTTATCAGGTTTTTTTCCATCGTTTTTACCAAAAAACTGGTTTTTCCCTGATAAAAACCAAACCCTGATTCTTAATACAGTTGACGCTCAAAACAAAGGATAGGTTTTTTTTATATCCCTACAAAGCATGTCAATTTATATTTATATGTAATGCATTGAAATACACACCTTATACATCGAAAATTTATTTTAATTGTAAGCGGAAGTGTTATATTTTAACACACTCCAATTGAGCTGTTAGAAAAAATATTTATTGTATAATAAATTAAATGCTTTTAAAAAGCATAATTGGGGGATTTTAATTACTTTTTCAAAAAGGAAAAAAAATATTTGTAAGAAAAATTGATTGAATAAAAGCTATGGACAATGTTACTCATTTTAGAAAATTTGCAGTTTTCTGTGGACTTAGTTTTACCTCCTTCATCATCTTAAGATTTTGATATTTTATCTTTTTATTTTAAAGCTACTCTAGTGTTTAAAAAAATAAATGTAATTTCTACATATATTAATTATATATATTTTTTACTTCACCTATTCACGATATTGCAATTTCATTTCATGTAGCAATTCGAGATATTTTTAATTTCATTTGCTTACCAAATTAACAAATAGGGCTATTGCCACCAACCCAAAAGAAAATGGACAAAAAATGAAAAAATCACATGTCATTTGTTACTTAGTATTTATATATAAATTACATCCTCTAACATTTGAGATTTTTGAAAAAAAGTTTTCGACTGGTAAAGAACTGAAGTAAACATTTTTGAAACAGAGAGAACTTTCAAATGAGTTTATCAAAAGTTAAGAGCATGATTATCTGTTAATCTGACGTTTTATGCTTGTGTTTAAATTTTGTATATGTTGCAACGGACGAAATTCGTGTAATTCTAAATTATTAAAATTCAAATGTATTAATTTTGCTAGTAAAAATACTTTCTGAAACAACAAGAATTCTGTTGTGATTGAAGGGTATGTATAAATGTGACTTATATTTCCTGTTGACTAACTCTTGTATTTTCTAGGCTAGTTGCGAAGAAGATTAAGCAAGATGCAATTTTGCTAGTTTTAGGAGATCATGGAATGACTCAGAGTGGTGACCATGGTGGTGATAGTCTTCAAGAGATAACAACTGCTTTGTTTTTATACAGTCCGTCTTACTTGGGAGATTTTAACATGGTGAGTGTTGTACATTTTCAATGACTTAAGTAATATATACATATCAAATGTAATAGATTTATTATTGATAACACCATGGAATAATTTTTTTGTTACATTTATACAAATGCTTGATCTTGCCGAATTTGGGTGTGAAGATTTCAAATCTGAAATTAGTTATGCTCCTAAAGCTATAGATTTTTTTTTAATGATATCTTAAGTCTATTTTTTGTAAAAATGTACAAGTTTAAAAACTTTATATATGACAAGGGGTCACATAAAACTTGTGAGAAACTTTTAAGGGAGTTTGGGACACATTATCAAGGTTTAAATTCCTTAGGAAACTATGCCCGGAAATGTTGCCATATGCAGCTCAGGGGCGTTTCCCTATTATGAACTGAAATTGTCATTTAAAGAAAAAAATTGTACCTTGGAGAGAGAAAAGTATTGCAGATTAGAAAAGTACCTAAGATCTGTTAAAAAAAAATCTCATGTAAAAAAAAAAAAAACATTCCCCGGTGTAATTATTACTTATTGTTACAATTTCTTCAGTATTCAATTTTGTTGTATAAAATTTAACGTTCATTTGAACGGCAATTGCGTAGATCAAGGTACGTTGCTAGCCAAATTATTACACTTGGTATTTTATTTACTCTTGTTTGGGTGAACGATTATTGAATGCAGCATCATATTGCATCTGTTTCTATAAATTTGCATTATTATTGGTTCTCTTAAAATTTGTATAGATTTTTAAATCCATCATTATAATGGTTTACTTTTTGTCAAACTATGTTGACATTGTTTTTTCTTTGTAAGATGAAATAAATAGCTCCATGTAGTACACAACAGTGTATAATCCACACAGATTGCTGATATCATTTTGCAAATTTTTATATTGCTGAAATTAAAAATACAAAAAAATGATAATGAATTTGTGTTCCGTAAAAAAATTGTTTGGTTTAAAAATGGTATATTTCACATTTATAATAATTTTTTAATAAAATATAGCTGGTTGCAGTAGTTTTTATCGACAAGGTTATGTGGCGATATTATGATTGTATACAAATTTTTACCCATTCATTCATATGGATTCCCATTCATATTACCCATTCATGTAAAGGAGTTTTTTATGTTTTTATTTAAAAAATAAATATTTGTCATTTTTGATTCTTGAATTCATGCCTTTTACTGCTTATGTAAATGTGATTCAAAATTGCATTCAAGTGTTTCAAAATCACACATCAGGATTCATGGTCACTCGATTTAAAAACACATCGTGATTAGCAGTCATATGATTTAAAAACTCACATTGCAATTCGTATTTACACAATTTAAAACTACTAATTACAGGGTGGCCACCCACCTGGAAAACCTTGAAAACCTGGAATTATCAGCGATGTCAATTNAAACTACTAATTATGATTCATATTAACATTATTTAAAATCACACAAAAAGGCAAAAAATGTCTTCAAAATGCAAATGAATGCCATAAAAAATGGGAAAACGCCTTATTGCTTAGGTAAAATTATAAAACTAAAACAGTGTTTTCCCCCTTAAAATTACTTTCTTTCATGTCAAAATATATAATGCAATACCTGTTCTACATTCATTAAAATTTGAAATAATTGTTATGTGCTAAAATATCAACAACAAAAAAATGAAGAAAATATATTTGTTCCTGAGCATTCTTTGTTTGTATTTAAATTTTAGAAAACATAAAAACTTCCAATATTTCTAGATATCAGAATTGCATTGGATTAATATTTTTTTGTTGATGTTTTTAAATATAATTGAGTCTCTTGCCTGAAAAAAAATTTTTATGCCTGAAAATGTTTTTTTTTATCAGCTATTGATGTGATTGATGCATATTTTAAAATTACGGTCTCACTTACTGACATTTAATTTAGAAAGTTTTTGCTCCATTTGTTAATACACTAGAGTTTATGGTTGCTAGTGGTATTACTAATTGCAATATAAACTGTAAAATTATTAGAAAAATCTTGCATTTAATTTAATAAAATGACTCAAAGCCAAGACAAGAGAAAAAAGTAAACTTCAAAAACTTAAAAATATTCTAAAATGCAAAAATTGCCATTAAAAAAATGCCGAAAAATGCAAGTGTCATTAAAATCTGAGCTTTAATTATAATTTAATATAGGTATTTAATTATATTTGGTGTTTCAAATGTATTTTAACTATATTTTTTAATATTTCAGAATGATGATGTGCCAACTATTCAACAAGTGGACATAGTACCCACCCTCTCTCTGTTATTGGGCATTCCTATACCGTATTCCAACATAGGCTCTGCAATAAGTCAAGTATTTACACTGAACTTTAATTTTACATGCTTTCATCCTAAACTGGATTCACTGTTGGGAAAAGCTCTAGCAGGAACAGAAAATATTTTACAAGTGCAAAAGTATGTGCATACCTACAGTAAAGTTTCAGAAGAAATGACAAATTATTTTCTTACCCATCTCAATGATAAAACAAATGAAATCTTACAAGTATGGAATAATATAACCAATGATGTACCTGAAAGTGCTAAAATTCTTATTGATATTTCTGTAAAGTGCAAAGAACTTTTGCAACACATTAGACAGACATGTGAAGAAAAATGGGCCACATTCCATCTCCAGAATATGAGTGCCGGCTTTATCGTGTTGTTTTTTGTTTTTTATCAAACGCTAGAACTCTCTGAAAAAGCTTATTACAGTTTCAAACTACTTGCCGTTTATGGCATATTGGCATTTTTAATGATAGTAATTGTTTATTTGTTTAAAACTGTCGATTATTATTTTATTCCTTGTGTGTTTCTGTTTATGAAATGTTATAGAGTGTTGATAAAATTTTCTACGGATGCTGAATTTGTATCTAATGTGAAAGTGACTAGCATTCCAGCTGCATGTGTGGTCATGTTCTTTATAATGAGTTTTTCCAATAGTTTTGTTGTAAATGAAGATTCAGCTGTCATGTATATTCTCCAATCCATCATAATCTATCGATTTTTCCCACTAGTGGCAGAATTTACCAGAACATGCGTTACTCTGTTCTTCTGCAGAGGTAAAACTGCTAAAAAAAGTCCAAAATGGAATTGGAAAATGTGTATAGCACCTACAGTTTTATTTCTCCTCATACTGACCATAAAATTGGGTTCTGTTTTCTTCAAGTGTCGTGAAGAGCAAGTTCATTGTGAAAATTCTATATTGACACTATCTTTGGAAAAGCTCCATGACAATGAAACATTTAAAGTAATGAGACTTGTGATTTCATGGATATCAGTTATTTCACCTTCTGTGATATTTTTTACTATTTTAAAATATAAATACTCCAACTTTAAAAGACCACAAACAGTGTCTGCCATTGCCATGAACTATGGATCTTGTTTTGTTTGTATAGTGCTATGTTTGAGATGGTGGCTAAACATTCTTCCTTCGAGTGTCGTTGACAGAGTTTTGAAAGGAAATGAGGTAATTATTTTACGTAATTTCATTAGTTTTATGGAAATCACCCTAAATAATTTTAGGTAGCAATGTAGTGTGCCTTATACAACAAAGCACCAGAATATATAAGTACGTTGGGACCAGTGATCCAGCCGACCAAAAATCCAGGTGATTGGACAACTTTAAAAAATGAAATTCTTTTTAGGTAACTTATATATTTTTTTATAATAAGTGTTATGTTGATTTTGCTTTTGCCTTTCTTTAATTTTTTTAACCCGGGAGGACATGGGGGCTCATTTTATGACCCCTTGCATTTCATAAGTTTTGATTCTTAAGAAACTGGACACCTGCTGATCCCTTTTTACTAGCGGCTGAGTTTTCCTTCCTTATCTGCCTTTTGTGAATAATTAGAAGGAATTTACAGCATTTCTCTTTCCTTCATGTCATAAAAAGACCCAACGCATCTTTCGTTTGTTCTACAAACAATTTTATTTCTCAGGACTGGTGAGTTTATTGCGTTATTTGTCTGCAATGTTCATGAAATTTTTGTGGCAATAAGCACAAGAACTGCTTTGTTATCTAACAAAAACCGAGTAATTGAATATAATAACAAAAGGTGTTATCGAACTGTGTTTTAAAATCAAAGACCTTCTTATGCCACTTATTAGTGATCAGCACCAGCAAACATGCGGTTAATTCGCATTTGATTCATGAACTACAAGTTCAAACAGTTTTTGACTGGAATCACTAAAATATTAAAAGCTTTCTCAAAAGGAAGTTTTGAAGAAATTGAGAATTACAGAAACTAATGATTTGAGCCCATTTTTTTTTTCCTTCCAAGGAACATAGAATTTTTGCAGGCAATAACTGTCTCTGAGAAAACAAAATGTAACTAAATATTACTATGCATATTTACATCTGCATTAAAACAATCATATTAATTGAATACAGGGTTGGCAGGTTTTTGACATGTGACAGTTTTTGACGGTTTAAACCATGGTTTAAACCGTCATGTCAAAAACCTATATTCATATGTGAAATTTAATTAATACATAAAATTTATATATTTTTTATAAAAGATTTGTAGAATTAGCCATACAACTTTTATCATGCCCTGCCAGTTCTGATTCAATAGAACGGATGTTTTCCAGTTTTGGACTAATTCATTCGAAACTCCGTAATAGATTAGGAACAGAAAAATGTTCAAAACTAGTTATGTGCTACCGTATGCTGCGAGGAGCAAATGAACTAGACTATTGAATTTTGAATTCAATTTCTGCTTCCATCATTTTCATTTTGATTATGTAGTGTGATGCATGTTCTAATTTTTAAAATTATGTATTTAATTAGGATAATTAAAAAATTTCCGTAATAATTTGTCTAAATATTTCATGGATCAGTGACTGTAATGTTCTTCTGTTTAGTTTGACTTTTGTGATTGGTTGTTAGTTTTTCAGAAAAATCAGTAATTCTGAATTTTAAATCTTCAATATTTTTAAATTCATAGTTAACATAAGACAATACAAATTTAAGTGCTTTCTGTTAAATACACAGAGTAGTTAGTGTTTCAAACAAGTATATTCAGCCTATTCATTTACTATGCTGAAAATTTAGTTTATCCAAATACTTGTGAATTTCATTTTGCTGAATACTATATAGTTTTGTTGAATATCTAAATATTCAGCTGTTGAATAATTACTTCTTGCTTTCAAGATATGCATTATTTGTATTCTTAATACAAGTGGAGAAAAAAAAATTAAGAGATAAAAATTGTTTTAAAATGATAAGTGTAATAATTATAAATAAATATAATAAACAATATGAATTATATTTATCATTATTCACAAATATAACTACTTTTAAATTCAAATTAACATACTGGATAATAAAGATATTCGGTATAACATTAAAATTTTTTTTCATACACTTGTATCAAGTTTGTATTTATACAACATAACTTGTAAGTTCCTTATAAATATTAGTTATATGTTCCTTATATGTCAAAAATGCATAGTAATAAACTTTTAATTTTCTTAAGTATCAAAAAAAAAATTTTTTTTTTCAAAATATAAATATTTAAAAAAATTTTGTGCAAAATTTTTCTGCACATGCATTTGAATATAAATTTCTGAGATTTTAAATCTGTTATTTTACCTTAATTTTAATTAAAAAATATTTTAAAACCTGCTGATTACCTATAGTATAATTAAATTTCAATATAATGCATGGCAACTGTTGGTAGTTTTGAAGTTTATATATTTTCTTGGCAAACTTCAGTTTTTGACGGTTTAACCAGTATTATACCCTTGTCATGTCAAAAACCACTTTTTGACGTCAAAAACCCAACCCTGATTGAATATGAAATAATTATTTATATACTTATTATTTTATAAATAAATATCATCCTTTATTAAATTTTCAGAATAATATTTAAAATTCAAAATTTATTTTAAATATTATTATATATATGAATTTTAAAAATTCATCCCAGACGCTTGAACGTTTGTTCAGGAGGCTCTTGTACTCTCGGGATAACAATACAAATTTTTTGCTGTAATGACAGCAAGACTCTTTTGTGCTTGATCGTTTGTTCAGGAGGCTCTTGTACCCTCGGGGTAACAATACAAATGTTTTGCTGTAATGACAGCAGGACTCTTTTGAGCTTGAACGTTTGTTCAGGAGGCTTTTGTACTCTCGGGATAACAATAAAAATTTTTTGCTGTAATGTCAGCAAGACTCTTTTGTGCCTCAACGTTTGTTCAGGAGGCTCTTGTACTCTCGGGGTAACAATACAAATGTTTTGCTGTAATGACAGCAGGACTCTTTTGAGCTTGAACGTTTGTTCAGAAGGCTCTTGTATTCTCGGGGTAGCAATACAAATTTTTTGTTGTAATGACAGCAAGACTCTTCTGAGATTCTCAGACACACTTTAAACATATCCTATACCTACAAAATTTAATTTAAAAATATCATGTGCAATTCATATAAACTATTTGATTCTACTCCCCTCCTTATTGAAACTGGGCAAACGAATTTGAAATGAGTGATGACAGTGCTCTTTTCAAGAACAATTTTTCAACAGCATTCAGAGAATGAGAAATTCTTTTGAATACGTGGGGCTTGGATCCATTTGAACAATTTAGTCCAGAGGCATCCATATAAATGGTACTCTACTGTATTACTTTTCTTAGAATGCACTGTTATTTTTTTAGAAAATGACCGCAAGAAAAATTTGACAGATTTGGTATTTGATTTGTTTGATAGGATTTAGAAATAAAAATTTCTTTAGACAGCAATTTTATTATTGTAATATGAGTTTTTTTATTTATTAATAAATCACATTTTTTGGAAAAAATATGATTTTTTTAAAGAAATAAAAACTTATAGTTAGACTGAAGGCATACCAGATGCGGAAAAAATATGAAAATGACATTCATAAAGTTTGTGTTTTGTAGCTGTGTCTCTTTTATTGCAGGTCTTTCTAGATCGCAGTGCTTTTCTTATCTCCCTCATCATGTGCGTCCTCACTACTCTATACCCATTCCTGTGTGAGCAACCATGGCAGTTAAAATCAAAAGAGATCTACCATTGCAGTTTCTTGTCTTTGTTGTTGTGCATTGTGCAGTTGTTGCAACTAGTGGCTGGAGATGCTTTATCCTCTGCCATCACTTTAATGAGCTTATCCACTTTATTCTACATCATTCTAGTGAATGCCTCACCTGACTCAGGTAAAAAACAATGTTCTCCATATTTCTAGCTCCAATAAAATAAAAATTAGACAGAACAATGAAACCTCTTGGGAGCGACCACTTTCTGATTAACAGTAAAATTGTCATTATGGAGGTTGATCGTTCTTAGAGGTTAAATATGTTGACTTCGAAATGTTATAGAAGGTACATGATTTTTCGCAAGCAAATTTAATTTTACTTAGTGTCATTTTCAAAAATGTGTTTCGTGTGAAAATGCCTCTTGTAATGGCGTCATGAAAACCAGATTGTCGAATAATATTTAGCGTCAATAAAAATGACCTCTACTGATATAATTATGTGTAAAAACAAATTTACCAATTATGATTGTTGTAAGAACTATTTTAAATAAATGAATAATTGTGTTTTTTTGTATAAGTTTGCGTTTAGTTTTATACCATAAAAATTTTTTTACTATAAAAAATGAGACGTTTGTTTGTTTTAGATACTTCGTTTTTTTCTAAAATAACTTTTTTTTTTCTAATTTAATATTTTACTCTTAAACTAAATCATTGATAGCATCGTCTTTAGTACACTCAGACTGTGACATGAAGTTGATCAAAAGCTCTATCAGAGATGGTCAAAAAGAGCTCTCTAAATAAGATCCACTTAGAACTATTTTGAATACATTTGAATTTACTTATTTCTTTTTGTTAATATTTTATATTTTTTCGTGTATACTTATTTCCCCTTTTTTCGCATTTGGTGTGGAGGTTCGTCCGGTCGCTGGGAGAGGTTTTGATGGTCTTCCCTAAAGGTTTTATTCAACACTAAGTCTTCCCAAGTGGTTGTAAATAGAGGTGGTCTTTCCTAGTGATTTTACTATCACTTTTAAAGTTTTTGAAATGTCTTTTACAATTTATACTGATACAAGATCTGGCAGAAAGACCTCCAGTATTTGTAGCGGGTGCTGTTTGAATTGTATTAGGGATACACAGTGGAGGAGGTATCACTAGATAGTTGTAGTTGTGCTATTTTCATTTGTCACAATGTCATAGCACAGTGGTCTTAGTACATTTCTTGTGGAGAAGTATATTCTTTAATGGTGGCTCTGTGGTTACTACTTAGCTGACATGATTCCATTGCGGGTAGAAAATTATTCCAGTTTGGGTACCAAACTTTAGAGCAGTGATTCTCAACCTTTTTTTTGTGGCGGCACACTTTTCACAATTTCAAAATTTGACGGCACACAATGAAAAAAATTAGTTTAAAAGTTTTTTACTTACCTATAATACACTGTGTTAAATAGTTTGTGATAATAATTTTGAATGTGAAATAAAATAATATGTACTACAAAAGCACATTTATTAAGGGATTAATTACTTCTTTCGACTAATTTTTTATTAGTTAGTAACAGTTTTTTTTGCTAGTTATTAATTGCTAGCTTGTTTTCCATAGTTATCAACTGTTAGTTTTTTTACATTAATAATTATTTTTTGTGATTTCTTGTTAGTTAGTTTTTTGCTAAGTATTAATTGTTAGCTTATTTCTTTTGCTAGTTATCCTTTGTTAATTTGTTTTTATAACTATTAATTGCATAGCTTACTTTAATGATTAGATTTTATTTTCGCTTGGAAGTTAGTATTTAGCTTGTTGTTAATTAATAATTTTAATAGTCATTAAATTTCCTACTAATTTCAAAATTTTTTAAAATTGTGTGTCAAAGAAACACTTCCTTCTTATTTTAACTTATTTTAATATAGTCAGAGACAAGACAATCGTCGCCCACAAAGAGATACTCACGCGGTTAAAGCTTGAAAAAATTATAAAAAGTATATATATAATATTATATATCTATACACTTTTCTTCAGTTTAAACTTTACTTGTAATAAAAAAAGCAATATAATTTTTATTGTCTCATTTCTAATATTTGGTGGCACATTTTAAGAATTTGGCGGCACACAAAAGTGCCGCGGCACAGTGGTTGAGAATCACTGCTTTAGAGCAATAAGTTCTGTACTGAAAAAAAAATTGCTTTGCCATTCCACCAGACATGATATGCATAGTAAGATAAAAAAATAAAGTATCTGCACATGCAATCCAAAAGTATCTGCAAGCTCATAATATTTTTTAAGTACAGAATGATTTTTTTACATTTCAAAGATGACAAAAAACATTTAACTATTTAACATATTTATTTATTCCTGACAAAAATATATATATATGCACATTAACATTAGGAACATTAGAGAAAGATTAATATAAATAGTTATTAACAGAAATAAAATTGAAGAACTGTATTCATATTTAGTAATTATTACAATATTAAGAATTAAGTAATATTGATAATTTTGCTCCCGTAATTCTTCAATGCGAAATCCATATTTAACATTTTGTATCAAACTGGGGCAATTGTATTCCATTTTTATTAAAAAACGAAATTGCATTAAAAGAATTCCTACTATCATCTTAATTGTTCATTTCGTTGTAAAGCGATAGTCCTGGCCAGTTGTTTGCTCATCCGCTAACGATGGCATCATTAAATTTTTGGGCTAAATGAGCGGTTTTATCGTTTCTCTTCAGTAGCAGCATGCATACAACTGAACAACTTTCTTCTAAATTGCATAGTCGTCTGCTTTTCGTCTGCTTTTTATTTTATTTTTTTCCCTGCAAACTTTTTTTTGCACGGATTATTTAATTACAATAAATATTGAAAAAAGCATCTGCAAAATTGCAGAATCTCTGCCAATGTATCCGCCACAGCGTTCGTCTATATTGTCCAACTATGATACAACAAACTATGCACAACTTCCGGGAAAGGCTTTCTGTCATTTATGGAACATGACTTATAAAACCAAGTAATGAAGAATTCATACAACTTCAACTATTTTACAAAGTATACACTATTTTACAAAGTATTTTTTTTTCTGTATTGTTTTTATTTTTTGTAACTGCATTTTGAAATACGAGAGGTTTTTTTGTCGAACCCTTTACATACATGGCTTTTAAGGGATGGTAAACTTCAATTCATGTCTATTAGTAAAAACTAGTTCCAGTTTCAACCTAAAATTACATTGGTTTTGATGCTTTTGCATCAACTTTTATAAAATAGTGATTTGTCATATTTCCAAACAATTTTTAACCTTGCTTGAATACCATTTTATGGCCTCCAATGTGTAAGCTTTCGTATCATCATTTTTGACTTATTTTTTAAACTTCAATATTGATGTCTGTGATTAAAGAATGTCCTGTATATTTATTCATAATGATCTACATTAGTGATCTTATCTATATAAATGTTAAAAAAATTTATTTCTTTGTTTAAAATGAATAATTAAATTTTCATTCATTAATGGTTTCAGAAAACTGGATTTGGACAGATACCATTATTTGCTTTTTCTTATCCCGGTTTTGGTTTTATGCAAGTGCNAATTAGTTCTAATTTGTTTAAAATGAATAATTAAATTTTCATTCATTAATCATTTTCATTCATTAATTGGTTTCAGAAAACTGGATTTGGACAGATACCATTATTTGCTTTTTCTTATCCCGGTTTTGGTTTTATGCAAGTGCACAACAATCTACAATCACAACTATTTCGTGGGAGCCTGCATTTCTCTTTACTCACAAAGAAATTTACAGCTATATTTTATCCGGTGCTTTAGTGACTGTGAATACCTTTTCATCGTACATCTTTCATGGATTGATGCTTCCGCTTCTTTTAACCTGCACAGAATCATCCATCTTTACCTCTGCCTCTCTGTTAAGGCTACATATGAGATATATATTTTTGTTTGGTTTTAAAGTAAGTTATTACATTTCTAACTGTTCATATTTCAAATTCAATTTAATATACACATAGCTGCCAACTCTACTGAATTTAATTAAAATTCTTCTGGTTTTTGTACATTTTAGAAAATTCCCTAAAATTAAATAAAAAAAAAAAACCTATTGAAGTTGAATTTTTGTACAAATTATTGCTTGCTTGGATATTTAAATAAGTATTACTAATACATAATGAAGCAAACCACATTTATAGAAATCAGTTCCAAGCTTTTTTTGCTCTAAAATTTTCAATTTATTTTTATTCAGAACTTTTTTTTGAATTGATTCAAAAAAACAAAATTTTTTTTTACTATCTTTGATGAATTAAATGCCTATTAATATTCTAAATTATGAGTAAACATTATACATAACTTTTCAAGTATGTTTAATGTCAATTATAACTGGAAAATATTGCAGTTTTTCTATTTTGATGACTATAAAAAGCTCTAAAATTCCCTATGTGTAAAATATTTGGTACATTATGCAACAATTATCATGAAATTTATATTATTTCGTAAAATCTACTAGACTTTTTCCTATCTGTTGGCAGCTATGTATACATTTTCTTATTGCACTTATTTGTGTCTAGGTTCCAAATTAGCTAATTTTTAATTATTTGGTGTTTTTAGTGCATGCAGTATGGATTTCAAATCATGAAACTCCTTATCACAAAATTCTGAAACTTACAAAAAAAATTAACTATGCATTTTCTATTATATATTCTATCAGTCAAAATTTTATTTTTAAAATCATTAATGTTGTGAATCATTTTACATAAAATCAGTTTTTGTTCATAATTGACTTTAGGGAATTCTATGAACATTAACTATTGTATCCAATTCACCTGAAAGTTACTGTTAAAAAAAAATGAGAAAAATTAATTTAAAAAAATTGTGATTACTCTAACAGTGTACAAATTTTAGCAAGGGTGCATTGGTACCCACTGGCAATTTTTAATTAGGTAAGATTATGCAAATAATCGACAAATTATACAAAGTGACAACTCAAAGTACAAGTTATAAGTACAAATTACAAGTTATTGCTTGCTCAACCAAAAAACATTACTCCTCATGTTTTAAACTTTTTAGGCTAAGGTTTCTAAACATACATATATTAATAAAGAAAATATTTGTGCAGTTTTTAACGGTATGTTCAAGATTTATGTCAAATTGACACCTTTATTAGTGTTATAATGGGGTTTCTTTACTATATGTAACTATCATTAGGGCTGCAAGTTTGTCGCGGGAAAAAAAAACCCAAATTCGCGGGAAGTTTTGAAAATTACACAAATTCTAAACATAAATATACATAATCTATAATCATTAATCATATAAATTCTAAACATAAATTATATAAATGATGCAAAAGACAGAAATTGCGCAAATAATAAAAAAGGCTTAAAAATATATAACAAAAGTATTTCTGTGATTTTCGAGCAATATTAATATTTTTATTTAAATGAACAGAATTTTGGTACAAATTATTGTACATTGTCAGATTATTCTCATTTATCCTTTGTCTTTCATCACTTAATACATTTTTGTACTTAGAAAACGATCTTTCTGCGTCAACGCTGTTTTTAGCCACCGACAAATTTCGAATTGCCACTTTTGGAGCGCTCGGTCTTTGATTTCCAAGACTCGATTAATTTTCCTTCACCAACGCGCAATTCCTTGACCGTTGCTTCGTAAGAAGTAATTGCTGTGAAAACTCAAACATCCTAGATTCAAACTACTAGTTACAAGTCCCTACTAACTACTATTCCCCCCCTTCATCTAAGAAACTGATCCATATTTAAGAAATCACAAGAAGCCGCATAGGAAAAGTTAACTGGATATGTAGAAAGGCAGTAGAAATGTCATTGCCCAGTGCAATAGCATGTATAACAATTTTTCTGTCAAAGATTTGATTTATAACATTTTCCTTCTTTTGTGATTCCAATTTCTTTTGTACTCTTACTGACTTCAGGAAGGTAATTACCCTCCCTAAGTGTAGAAAGACCACCTTAGTTGACAAGATTGTGATTATCTCTTATCTCTGAACTATTTTCATGTCATTTTGCTATTGATTCACTCCCCTAAATATCTAATCAATTTTACATGTTCAATTTAAGGTTCAGAAAAATAAAAAATTCTGTTTAATAAAAATAATAAATAAAAAATGAAGAAAAAAAAAATTAAGCAATTTTCGCTCAAGTCAAGACATATTGAGAAATTCGCGGATTTTAGGAAAAAAGATGACATTTTCGCGGAAATTCGCGCCGCGACAAACCTGCAGCCCTAACTATCATCTATGATCACAAAAATTCACCCTTAGGGCGCTTTTTCATTACACGACACGATACCGACAAAATCGGACGATAAATGTGTGAACGACAATGTCGTTGCCGGATCGTTCAAGCAATTGTTTTTTCACTTGTCCGATATCGTTCGCCCTAGAAGTCGAAATTCTTGTTCATTCAATGTTTTGAGCTTGAATGAGCAGTTGCTTGTGTTCTGTTGTGATTTTTTTTTCTGCAAACTTTAAATATGCCGGATGATAATCGTCGTCTCAAACTTCTTACTTTATTTTAGAAGAAAAAAGCTAGCAGTGCAGAAACGTTTTTGTTGCACGAACTGGTACTTGCGTATTAACGCCACCGCAGCTACAGATTTGGCTGTTTTTAAGTGCTGCCGATCTACACCTAAACTTTTTGCGACAAATCATGAAATAAAACACTTTATTTAAAATCTAAAAATTCAAAACACTTTATTTAAAATCAAAGTAGTCAATCGGATTTCGGTGGAAAATGGGCCGATATAGAGTTTAACATATATTCAAAACAGTCTATTTTCTTTCATCAGATGCTGTCGCCATATCGTCGCTTTAAAACTAAACCGTAGAAACTCAAAAAAAATCGAAAAATGAGATATTTAGGTCATTTTGTGTAAAAAAAAATCACCCTTTTAGAGAAACAACGTGTTATCTTCATAGTTCCATAAAATTAATTTAGAGAGCAGATAAATCGTTATAGCATTGGCGTGATTCGCCATCTTAGTTTTAGGGAATAGTATAGCAGTGTGCCAATTGCAACAAAACCTTGGAGGAGATAACGTTGCTTTGAAACTAAACCGTGGTAACTCAAAAAAGGAGAGCGATTTTTTTCCTACATTATTGTACGTCAAAATTTGAAATGAAATATGTAATATTCGGGAGGATATTTTGAAGAATATCGTTGTATTTTGAAATAACTCTCCACTTTTAATAAAAGTTTTAGAGAAAAGTGATGCAATTGCATACAATAAGTTAAGGTACTTTGCAATAAGTTAAGGTACTTTGAGTTAACTCAAAGTACCTTAACTTATTTCGAAGTTACCACAAAATTAGAGATGCTGCAAGGATCTGGCCTGGTTCATTGAAAAATGTAAAGAAACAGGTTTTTTTTAAAGTAAACTATTTTGTAATAGTCGCCATAGCTTTGAGTCAACCTGCGGTGGAAGTTCCTGAAAAGTTAGAAATCGCTCTCCTGAGAAACTTGCAGTTTTTAGTTACCACGGTTTAGTTTTCAAAGTGACGATATGAACTCTGATAAATAAGATTCCAAATGATGTCTCGCTGTCCCCCTATGTCTTTTGTTCCTCCATTTAGCACTGCCCCTTATTCTCTCAACTGTTTGTGTATTATGAACTCCTGTATCAGGATTAATAAAATGAATACAATAACCTACTTGCTAAGGTATTTGTATTTATGATAAACCTTAGCAAAAAAGAATTCTTCTATTCTCTTTGTTTGATAACCTTTCCAACTGTCAGAATAAATTGTGCAACCATCTAAGCCCCACTTGCTTATCACACTGTCTTAAATTACATTTCCAAAACGTACGTTTACCAAAGTAAAGTTTCATGTCATGGGAATTGGTAAATTTTCGTTTTTTTTTTTTTTATTAAAATATTTCGTTACTGAAAAAATAAAATTGCATCTTGTTCTGTTTATGGCAAATCCCAAAGATGCATTTTCGTAGCCCTAAAAAATGGCGCCAAAAATCGGCAAACAAGGCAACAAGGAATCCAAAAGATAACTGCTTGCGAAAACGGGGCTGCTGTGTGCGAACAACAGGACTGCTCGTTATTGGCGCATTAGTACAACTTCTGCAACAACGTAAGTACCCACGAAATGAATGAGACAAGATATGTTGAAGAAGATTTTTATGTGCTTTTCCATAAGCTGCAAAAAGTCCCAAATAATTTTTTTTAATTACGTCCGAATGAGAGAAACCAAGAACAAGAGTGATGTTAATGAGGAATAATTTTTATATGGCTTTTGAGTTGGCGTCTGGTCGCTAATTTATGTCTGTAATCACTTAACATTACTTAAATTATTTAAATGTTAGTATTAAGTATTAGTCTTAAGTATGTTATTCTTTAAGTATTAACGTTTTTTTTTTAATCGAATTAAAATATTAGTTTCATTTAGAATAATCTTTTTAGATGATTTTTTAAGCGAGTTTTACCAAATTTATCTTATGAAGCCGCTCTATCATGTTTCAAAAAAAATGTTTCAGCTAAATCAGAGAACAGACTTTTTATTATTCAATCAAGCAGAAACCTGTAGTTAGATTGAGTTCTGTTTGAAATACATAAGGGTCTTTATTTGCCTTCTTCTCAAATCAGTACTATTATAAAAAATATTATCTCTTCATTGAAGCATATAATGCATTTATAAAAATTTTCAATAAAACTTTTATGATTGTTCAAGTCTTTCAACCTCATTATAATGCAAAAAATGCAATATCATAAAATTAAAAATTTATAACCAGACATGAGAATAAGTTATATGAAACTTTTATTTTCGAATTTTACATTTGACATGATCAAATAAACGATTAAAATTTATTAAAAAAATAAAATAATGATACCAAAAGAAGAGATAAAACAGGAAAGATCACAACAGCTAATAAAATCGCCACGATTTGAGGAGAAACTTGCTTGCCTAACCGACATTTGATTCCGACAAACGATATCGCCTCGTCGGATACGACATAATCGTTATCGTATCGGTAAGTGAAAAAGCGCTCCGTTGCTGACCATGTATTTTACTTGACCCTATGTCGTTCGCCGACAATCGGATCCGTTTTGTCGTTATCGTGTCGTGTAATGAAAAAGCGCCCTTATGACGATTTCGAGAATTTTAACTTAACTAATTTTTAAGTTAAAATTCCTTTCACTAATCCAAAATTGTACTATAGGATTTAGTTTTTAAAAAGTGATCATTAATAAACAAATAATACGGAATTTTGTTTGAATTTTTCTTTAATGGTATAATACTTGGTTATTATTCAAGTTTAGCATTTTGATCTACAATTATATTTTAATTTTTTAAGGTTTTTTTTCAGTACTATTTCACTAAGGAAAAAAAAACCTACTCAATTTTAGTAATTAAAACATTATTTTAAACTCTTTGCTTTTATTTTAAATTATTTTGCATACAAGAATTGTCAGGATTTAAAAATGGTTAAATATTTTTAATATTTAAAAATTATCAAACAAAATAATTTAGAAAAGTAAAAATCAGTAAAATCGCAATTTTACTGATTTTTATCTTTCCAATAAACATTCCATGAAAAATTTCAAGTTGTATTTATTGAAATTTAATTAGTTCTAATTTCGCTTCTTAATTCTCTAAAATCATCTAAATTAGTGCACTTTTAAAAAATGATTTAAAAAAAAAGCACTTATTGCATTTCATGATTTTTTTTAGCGTTATAATTTTTTTTTTCTTCTTTTGCAAAATTCTTTGTGATTTAAAATGGTTAAACAAAATTTTTTTTCTATAATATATTAGGTCAGTAGCTTAAACATTATCATAAGCTTTCAGTTCCTCGTACAATTTAGGTTTTAGTAAAATATTTACAAAATGAAAGTCAAACTTCTTAAAACTTAATTTTGGAGTATATATGCAGTATAATTCAAGAAATTTTTAAAAAAAATTATATTTCAACTATAACTCAATTAATAATTATAACTAATTTTAAGTTACTATTTCAATTATCATTTCTATGTAAATGATCAGCATTTTTTCCTTTCTAAATTGGATCTTAGCATGAAAAAATTACTTATATTAACATGATGCAAAAATTTCATTAAATGTCTCTGAACATTTTGTTTCGCATATTTTGTTTAAATTCATTAACTTTTAATTGAGATAGAAGTGCTTTATTTTCTCTTTTCGAAAATGAAGTTTTTTTCTTTACCTTGTAGGTTTTCACAATTCATTAAAACACAATGCATTTGGCATATCGTCGGTTCATAGCGTATGAAAGCGCCAATCATTTTACATGTTTGCTGAAATACTTGTGGGTTCGTATAAGTGTCTGCTGATCTGGATTCAGTGAAATTCTTGCACTCTCATGTGCAACTTTGCTGCATTTTGCAAGATATTCTCAATTTCAGGCTTCATTTTCCACCCTCTGAAATCGGACTGAAAAATATCTCGATCAATATCAATGGTGGCTGATATAATCAAGGAAAGAGTTCTTGCTCAGAAAGTAGTTATTTTATCATGATCATGTGAAGTCCGTGAAAATTATTTTCCATTTTGTTAATGTATATAGTGCTTAAAAAGTACTTAAAAAAAGGTGCTTATTTTTTGTTAAAAGATTTGGCTATGCACCCTGATAGAGGTCAGATAGTTGGTAATCAGTAATTTTGGAATCACATGTAGAATGTATTGTGAATTCTTTTGAAATTTAGTTACAAAAGTTCTGTTTTCAATCTTAAGTTTTCATTCTTTTGCACAGTCTTTATTTTCTAATGGATTATTTGCATTTATATTGGCAGAGTCTAGTAACTCAAAAGCCCATTGTTTTTCTTTTCAAAATCTAATTAGAAATCTTTTCCTTTGAAAAATATTGTTTCTTTTACTTATTTTTTTTTTAATTAAAATTTTTAACCAAGATTTTTCAGTAAAGTTCTGTTACTATTCATGTGCTAAGATTTAGAATATATTTACTACTATAAAAAAAGTTAACATTAAAGTATATTTAAGATTTTGAGCTGTAAATATTCCAGATCAATCTTTACACATATATTTATCATCTAATATATTTATAAAAGGCTTCTGTGTAATTTATAGTATGCATATAAGTAATAACTTCCTTACAAAAATGAATGCTAGTTTGAAAAAAAATATGATGCCCTGTTTTGTGCAAAGTATTCTCTATTATCCTAGGAAATGCTTAATAAACCTGTGCTCTTATCATTCGTGTTTTTACTTTTTATAGCTGATAGGAACTGTGTGGGCTGCTTTTATCCTTCGTCGTCACTTGATGGTTTGGAAGATATTTTCTCCAAAGCTTATCTTTGAAGTCATCACATTATTTATCTCTATGATATCTGTTGCTATTGGACATCTTTTCCTGAAGAAAGTTGCATCACATTATCACAGACTTATTAGATTGAATCTCAGCCATGTTTTTGAATCAAAAGATCAGTGAGAGAGACATCAAAAGATGTGTTCCACTATGCACAAAATAAAAAACAAGTCTCCCAAAGAACTTTTGATCTAAGTGGTCAGATTTTTTACACATTAGGATGCAAACTTAATGGTTCGAGGGTCTTAAACATTTGTAATAATGATATTGAAAGTTACGAAAATAGATATGAAAATGCACTTTCTTTGAATAATTATATGACTCGTATCCTCTCTTTTATAAGACTCGTAGTCTTGACTCTTAAAATAGAGGGTATACTCACATTTGGAAAAGTAAATGCTGACTGGTGCATGTTAAATCTGTCAGGGTCACAAAGTTCTCCATGTTCCTATAACAAATCAATACCTCTGGGGGTACTGAATTGGAGATTGCTTATTCTCCGGTTCAGGTCAAAATTACGATCTGTGGATAAATAAATGTATGTGGATGAATAAATGTAATGAATGGGTTCACCCTATAAGTGAGCTGTGACGTGTGTGTGGCTAAAGTTGTACTCTTGGCCATAGATGGCCACACTGAAAAATAAGAAAGGCAGCCTCAGCTTTTAATTCACCAATCAGCCTTGCTGGTATTGGCAAATGGCATTAGAAACAGAAAAAGCAAAGTTAGATCCTCTAACTATTAAAATTGCATCTTAGTCCATGAGACCAAAGTTATAAAGGTGTTTTTTTTCTTTTTGCATATTGTGCATCTCGCAAGATAAAAAACAGTCATCCTGTATAACTTTTGACCTAATGTCACGTTATTAGCATATTTGAGGATAATGTCAAATATGCTAATTAATTAGTTCAGACAATATTTTAAATTAAGAAATCAGACACAAAAACGTACTTTCTCTATATAAACATCTTTTTTTCTACAGTTTCAGATTTCTGAATTGAGTAGGTAGCTGCAATCTATGAATTATGGTTCCAATAGTTTGGTCAGGAGCACTGTCAAAACTTTGGACCCCTTAATGCTTATTTTACTTTTTGAGTATTTCACCATATCTCCAGAACTTTTTAAGCAAATTGAAAAATGTTTGCATAAAATTCGTTTATTCAAAGACATTTCCATGCAAAAAATAATTTTTATTAAATATTTATCATTTTATTTAAGTCTAAAAACTTTTGAATTGCAAGTTACGCATTTTTTTAAAATAATTTTGAAGAATTTAATTTTAGATAATAAAATACAAAACTGAGAGAAATCTGTTGAATTGAATTTTTAAAAAGTCATATTTTAAAAATTCGGTTTCACAGCAACTGTTTGGCCGATTTCTCTCAAATTTCATATTTTGCCATTTAAAATTAAATTCTTTAAAAATGATATAAAAAATTGTATGCTTAACAGTTCAAAAGTTTTTAAAATAAAATCTTTACTAAAAGTTATATTGTGCAAGAATTTTATATTGGATAAACGAATTTTATAATTGTATGCAAAAAGTTTTCAATTCGTTTAAAACTTCTCAAGATACGGCGAAATACATAAATAATATTGACATTGAAGGGTCCAAACTTTGGACTGCTCTCAAGCCTAAATTATAGGGATCTTATATCCCAGATTATGACTAATTTTGGTAGTCAGAAATTCGCAGAAAGGTATGGTATTCAAAGAAAGAACATTTTTATGTCTGATTTCATGACATTAAATTAGCATATTTGAGGTCACCCCTTCAAACATACTAAAAGAATCATTTATAACTTTAGAAGTATTTACATCATGCATTGTGTACTTGAAGTTTAGAGGTTTGAGGGAACGAGAATAAATTACGAACGGAAAATAGTGTTTTTTAATATCCTATGCCAAAAAGTATCAATTGCAATCAATTGTATATCAATTGCAAAAGTACCAATTGTATATCAATTGCAAATAAGTTGCAACTTATAACAATTATTTTGGTTATTACATGCAACAAATGCATAAGCCTAACTTATATATCTATGAAGATATGGGTATTTTTATGAAAAAAAAACTTTTTTTTGTCTTATGTGTTTTTAGTATAACTTTAAAATAATTAAATACAATTTTTAGAGCAATTTAAAATTAATTACAAAGTCCTTTTAAAAACTGTGTGATATATAAGAAATTAAAGTAGTTAACATTAGTAAGTTAAGTTATTTAATTTTTTCTTCTTCATAATTTTGTAGTGAATCATATTTAGCAGTTAAAGAAAAAAGTCTAATTTCAATATCCTATTTATTAAAAAGCTTCAGGTAATTTTCTTGGTAGTTTTTTTACATCTTAACAGAGAAACTCAATGATAAAGGGTTTTCTACAAATATTATTTTGTATCATAAGACAAAATTACACCTTACAATAAACCTTCATACACCGAAATATGATTGTTTAAGGAAAGAAAAAAATACTTAAATGGGGGATGATCCCAAACAATCCCAGTGTCATTTTTAATAGTAGAAAATAATCATTCATATCTTGCGTAGTTTTAAACAAATTTTTCTCAAATTTCAAAGCAATAATTTTGAGTTTAATTTTAAATTATTATAAAAATTTTGTTTAATTTTATTGAATATTTTTAGAGATATAGTGAAAAGACGCAAGGCAAAAAAATTAGATTTTTATAAAAATGTCCATATCTCTATAAGACTCTAGATTTACGAAATTTTGTACAATTATTGCACATAATAACCAAAATAATTGTTACAAATTTATTGCTACATTTTCTAGCATAGGGCGTTCAAAAACACTTTTTCCGTTTGTTATTTATTGGTGGTCCTTTAAACTTTATTGATAAGTATGAGAAATTGCATAGCCAAAACATTTATAAAATGATTCTTTAAGTATTTTTTGAGAAATTCTTTATTTTCAGAATTCAGCTGAGGTACTCCATTATTTTAAAAATCCCAGGAATACAAATAATTACTACCAAGGTGTTTTATCTTGAAATGGATTTCCTAAATCAAGACTTCCCTAAGTTAATAAAAACAGCATCCCCTAGAATTTACAAACAAGCAAAGAAGAAAATTTTTTCTTTTCACGAAAACAATTATATTGACTAACCCATAAATAATTTAACAGCATCTTTAGTGAACATAAGGCTTTATTTTATTTACAATTACATATATACAATTTAAAAAATAAATACAATTTTAAAAATAAATAGTTGTGCTTGTTTTTGATGTTCACTGGATAGTACATGATGATTCTGAAAATGCATAAAAACATAAATATTAGCCTAATACAGGTTTTTTTTTAATATTTGTAATTTTGTTCTACTCCTCTGTAGGTATTTACAAGTTTTAGCATTATAACCTCAATACAACTATGCCGAAAAATGTCTCTCGTGTTTTATTTTCCTCCTAATGCTTTGTATGAAAATATATTAGGCGTTGAAATCAGTAAAAAAAAATTTCAGTTCAAAAAGAAGGTAAAGTGAAAAATTTAGATGGTTACAACTGGTAATAGTAATTAAAGAATAATATTTTACTAAGGAAGGCATTCTGTGTAAATTAATTTCGAAAAAATCTCTAGACCTTAAATGAACTGGTGTTGAATGATTTTTGATGAAGAAAATTCAAAAGAGAGATATCAGTGCTGGAAAAAAGTTAAATATCTAAATTTTCAACATTTTTTTTCTTGGATCAAAGTTTAACAGTGTATTTAATTTGGGCAACAACAATAAAACTTTATTGACAAGATGCTTGATGAATGTCCCACCTGTTTTCAAACCTAAAAATTTGAGCAACAAGTTAGGGGTTGGTTCTTGGAAAATATGATAAATAAAGATCTTAGTTATGGATATTTGTGAATGTGGGCTTTCTTATACTGGCAAAATAAAATATTGACTTAAGAAACATCAAGGATGTGAACAAATTTGGCATATAAGTGCATTATCATTGTTGAAGCACTATAGAATGCAGTTCTATCATGCAACTATATTTTTGCAAATCACAAGGACTCCTAAAAGATAAATTATTTAAAAAGTTCAGGTAAATTGCATAAACCTAAAATCATTTTATTATCAAAACAAGCACAACTTGTGCATAAATAATTGAGCAGCTGCTTAGTCACAACATAAAATGCTGCCAGTTGAGGAAAGAAGAAGCGTGAAGCTTTCGAGATAGATGTTATTCCTGCTGAAACTAATTTGCAAAGCTCATGTAAGTTGTTCAAGTTCCCCCAGGTACTTGAAACGGCTTACAAACCTCAGAAGGCAGAATTTGTTGGGGGGGGGGACATTCTGCACTTGGGGTAACTATTGCATCAAGGCGTTTTAGGTAGAATTCTAATCTAAATGCAGATTTGAACCACCACAATACTAAATTTCTCCAATGCCCAGGAGCATCATTTCACATTCTAAAAATTGCTAAATGAATTAATTCATGAGTTTCCTTGTTTTTCAAAAATAACCATTTGTTTTGAAATTTCTTTTATTTAATGTTCCTATTTGGTCTCACTCTACCTTCCCCCTTTCTCGCATCTCTTACTGAGCAATAATTTCGCAGTTCTTTTTTAGCCTAACTCAGTGAATGTATTATCCCTGACCTTTACTTTATTACCCCTGCATACTTTGCTTTGAAACACTGATGATGTGAACACTGTGATTCTTGTACTTTGATCAACTTCAATTACAAAGATTACATTAATGCTTAGGACCTTTTGAAGCATTCATTTTACTAATAAAATAGATTGCCTGAAAGTCTTCTAAAATTTCAGATTACAGAATGCCCTGCTGTAAACATAGAGTGTTAAGTCATAACCAGAAATTCACAACAGTACAATGGACCTACAGATGAGTGGAACAAAACTACTGAAAAATGCATAACACACAGTCTACATAAAATTTACTGCACTTAAAAATATAATGCATTAACATGGAATTTTCAGAAAACAAATCGTTTGCTTAACACTTAAGAATCACCCAAACTGCATTAAGCAACATTTGATTAAATTGATTTAAGTACACAAGAATGAAAATTGTTCTGCTGTTAGTTCTTCATAAATTATTTTCAATATGTACAAAATCTACAATTAAATAATAATTCCACCTTTTACTTTCCTAGTATTTCACTCTTTTTACTACATTTTTTTAAAAAATTCTTTTGATCTCTGTGAGTGTGGAATCTTAAAATCAAATTTGTGCCCACTTTTCAACTAGCTAGAGTACGAAACTCTCCAATGGAACTCTGTGTCTAATGACATTATAAGCATTAAATATTTCATGGAACCTTGATGGCTCAGTAGCATTGAGCTGTCATTGTTAAAGGAAGGGGTTTGATCTTCAGTGTCAGCTCAAAGCTTTCCCAACTTCAGGTTGATAGTTATCAGCTTGTCTGAGAAGTAAAGGAAACTTGAAAACAATGCTAAACACATTGCTACAATAATGCTATTTGGCCACGAAATTGTGAGCCCTTAGCCTCCATGACTTCCTTTGGCTAGCGGAATGTGTTTAATTGTTTCATGACTATCATAAAAAGAAAGTATCTCAATTTAAATTTTGACCACTTTTCAAATAGCTAAAGAGCTCAAAGTTTTAATGGAATTCTGTCATGAAAAACAACACAAGTTTCAATTATTTTCTGGCAACTACTATCAAAGTTTATATTGCCAAACAGAATTCTAACTACCAAAATTTTAACTAGTGCAGTGTGCCTAGCACCAATACAAGTTAAAATTCATTCTAAATGGTGAGAGCATGTTAAAGTAAAATTTATCACCAATCTAAATTTCGATCACCATCCAACATAAACTAACATAGCTTAAAACAAAAAGAAAATAATAAAATAAATATTTTAACAACTAGGTTTTCAAAAAGATTAAAAATAAATTTCCTTTTTGCCCCCATTTGCATGAAAAACATAAGGAGCATCACATTTGTAACCAGGGGTCTCTCCAAGCCAAATTTACTACCGTTTAGCGGTACCTTCACATATTCAACTTTCGAAAAAACGGTAATTTCACAAAATTCTTTTTCTTAAAATTTTATTTTTGTGTCTCGTAAGAAATGATAAATCCATGTTTTAACCATATTTTTGTGTTGATTCTCAGAAAAACCTGGACAGACTCCTGGTAACAAACTTCTATCACCATTAAAATTTCCTTCCATATCTTTTGAAAGTCCACATACCCTAAGTTTTTCATTTAAGGTCTTGGTCTAGCAAAATAAAATTATATCCTAATTTTTAGTTTATTTTTAAAAATGTGGTTTTTAAAATTTATATTGGATTATTTTAATTTCCATTCATTTTTCAATTACTTTTATCTTCATGTGCAAGTAACTTGGAAATTTTTTAAAAAAAAATTGAATAGTCAATCAATAATTTAAATCAATGAAAAATTTAAAAGAAAAATTAATAATCAAAGCACTCACCATTGCCATCTAAAGTCCTAATGCCTACACTGTCAGTACCTTTTGTGAAAATAACTGTATCTGAGACACTATTTAACCTCATTAGTTTCCTCTGTCTTTTCAAGACATTTTGGAATGATTTCAGATCTTCAGCTTTCTTCATCCATTTATTAACCTAAACATGCAAACATGTATGCAAATATTCGTTTATTGAAATTTACTCTTTCAAATTATTAAGTGCAATTAAGGGTTCAAAAAACAAAAAGGGTTAAAAAAAAAAAACATCTTTTTATTTTTAACTTGTTACTTAACACTAGAAAGACTGAAACTTAGTATACACCTATATTGCCTAAAAGCAGTCAAAATGACTGGATCATGAAAGAATAACGGAAGTGTAAACAAATTTGTTAAAAATAAATTTTTTATATTTTTTATATTTACAAACTGTCCCGCTATTCTGGCACAATTGCAGCAAATAAGTGGCAACCCGTTGGCAGACTTATATGAAGAAAATTACCTGCAAATTGCAGATGATGTATGTAGGACCTTTGATCACATTTAAAATTATTTTCTGTCCATGACACGACATCAACCAACTATATTATTTACAGTTAAATAAAAAGTTATTAGTAAATATGAACAATAAAAAAAATATATATGTTGTACAAAAAGTCACAGAATTCTAATAAATTGTGTCATTTTATGCATCATTGTTTTTTTAATTGAAATAAAAAAGGAGTCAAAATGACTTCCTTGGGAAATCTAGTGTTAATACATATTTATTGTGATGTAACTATAGTCTTTAATGGAAGCTATTGGATTAATCCAAGAATTGAGCACAACTTATCAGTCCTCTCCACTGTCATAAATAGTATAGACTACAAAAACCTATAGTCATTTGTCTCTTATTCACAATTTATAAATTTCATTTTTTATAAAATTTTATATCAAAGCAAAAAATGCATAATTTGTAGTGACATAAATCAAACAAATTGTTCTCGAAAATTCGAATTTTCTTAACTTTCATATGCTTATTAAAATGATTTTACAAATTAAAGAATCAAGTTTTTTCATTCATTTCAGTAAAAAATTAGCTTATCTAAAATCTAGCTACATTTTACAGCAAGCATGAATTGAAGAAATTAGTGAGAAAATATTAAGTTTTTTTTTTGCTTGGGAATTTTAAGAAAATCACTTCAGTATGTATGTGGGCTCACTTTGCAAAATAAAAGAGAATTGGATGCAAATGAATTAAAAAATCAGTTTTAAAATGGAAGCTGTTTGCTTCAGTACAAAGACTAAATTGAGTGATTATTTTTGAAAGTGGGTTAAGTCCACTTGCAGTTAAAAAGTCATTTGTTTATTACGATTTTAATAATCATTGTTGGATTTTGATGTTTCATCAAATTGAAGTGTTAAAAAAATTGATTAACCTTTGCCAATATTTTTAAATTCATTCAAGCACTAATTCTTAAGAGCATTGGAATCTTTAAGAGCCTTTCCAAATGGATTTATTCCATTTTCTAAAGTAACATCACAATTAAAATTTGAGTGTTTTTAAAATGTCACAACAGATTCCTTCACTTTATTTGTTAATTATAGTATAAATTTCATTATGAAAAAATTTTTACCTCAGCATACAATAGATCCTTTTTGGGGCCAGTTGTCTCTTCTAAAAAAAAAGTAACATGAAAAAACCCAGCATGAAAAAAAATTCAAGTAAATGAAAATGTAGAAGAAATAAAAATAGTTTAGTTACCAGCAACGGCTGTCACTAAAATTTCTAATGCATTTTTATAAAGGTGACCTGCATCTTCATAACAACCATCAACAGCCTATAAAGAAAGAAAACTTCATAATTTCAGGAATTTGAATGCTATGCAAGATCATTTTATTATTTTTTAATGAATATAGAATCGTAAACATTTCATAATCTGAAAATTATGTTGCTTCATGCTTGTTTCTTAAAACTTTTCATCATTTTAGAAATAAAATTACAATTCAGGGTTGCCACAGTAAAAAATGAACAAAAATAGTTGCTTTTAGTAGTCTCAAGCATGAAAATAGTTGCCTAAAACTATAAAAATAGTTGCCTGAACAGGAGAAAAAACAGTAGCCAAATAATTAAAATTGTAGCTTAATTGTCAAATACTATGATAAGGACTGATTGATGTCAGAAATTTTAAATCGTGATACATTATCCGTTAAACATCGCGATTTAGCATATGTTCAGAAATTACCTATGGGAAATCAATCAAAAATAAATAAAAAGGAATAAATCTATTTCAAAAGAAAATATTAATTCTAAACATATTCTACTATAATATCAATATCATTGCTAAATATTTTTAATTAAAATAATAAAGAAGTCAAAGTAAAAGCAAACTCAAGATTTATTTCATTTTTCTTAAATTAAAAATGATTTAAGATTTATTGGTTTAAAAATAATAATACAGTAACAAAATATTTTATATACGTGTATTAAAATTAAAAGAAAAAAAACGAAAGTAGAAAACAAACCAAAGAAATGTTCACTTTAGAAAAAAAAAACATTTTTTTTAAATTATTTGTTGGAAAAAAAACCAGACTTTTGAAACATCATTAGACCCTCTTTTATTCAATTATTTAAAATAATATAAAGTAGTATTAACTAATGGTCAAATTCTGTACTGAATAAATGCAAAAATATTTTTACTTATTTATTATTATTTTCGTTTTTGAAAATAAAATTGACTAAAGATTTATTTCTTTAAAAATGACACTGACTATCTAACAAATTATAAAACAAACAAGTATTGAAAGAATTTTAATAAAATTAAAAAAAAAATACTTCAAGTACTAATGTTACATTATTAAAACGTGTCCAAACATTACTAAACTCTTTATTTAATTTTTTAAAAATTTTTTGTTTTTTAACTAATAGCCAAATTTTTTTAAAACTTTGTGTTTTCAGTTTCTCAAAAATAAAAGCAAATTAAATAAAGATAAGCTTTATTTTAATTTTTTTATAAATAAAAACAACTGAACATTTATTGGTTTAAAAATAATCAAATTATTATACTTACCTACATTAAATAAATTTGAAAAAAAACTAACTTTTTATAACAAAATTAAGTACAAAATACCCCTATTAAATTGTATCGCTTAAAATGAAAAATAATAATTGAAAAAGACCAATGAAGAAACTTTTTTAATTTATATTTTCTTTTCATTGATCTATTGAGTTCAGAACGAAAGTTTAAGGTAACAGCAATTGTGCAGCAATCGCAAAGTAACAGTAGGTCTACGAAAAATAAGTATAAGTATAAAAATAACTTCGCTAAGAGTAAAAAAGTCTCCAATAGTTGCCTATTCCTGAAAATAGTTGCTTTTTTTAACCTTTTCGTGCAAAAAAAGTCACCTAAGGCCGAAAATAGTAGCATTTTAGTAGCCTGTGGCAACCCTGCAATTGTAACTTTCACCATATTTTGAGAAATGTTTTAAACGAAAGGTTTCTAATTATTAATATCAACAGTTTTTTTTTCTAAATAAATTTATAATAATTTTTTTCATGATGAGTGTTGAGAATTATATTTGGCATAATAACCCAACTTAATTTCTTTTTTTTCCTCGTTACTATGAAAATCCACTCAAAGGTGGTTAGCTTATAAAATAATGGTCTTGAGAGAGAGAACCAAAAACTGAATACTGATCAAAAGGTAGGTGATTAAAATTAAAAGTATTTAAATCCAAATTTAAAAAAATAAAAGAAGAAAGATGGTTTAAGAGTTATTAAAAAATTCAGTTTAAAAAATAGTTACTGTGAGACATTTTTGTCTCTTGGTTCGTTTTTATGTCCTCTTAATGATGACCAAGGACTATTTTAATTATAGCTTATTTATTATTAAATTCTTGATTACAGAATTATTTACAGAAAAGTTACAAATAGATACATGAGCTGTTGAGTATAATGTTTTTGGAGCGCAACTGCTCCCTTCATACTAAATCTATCATCGTTCAATTACAACCCTACTCTTACGGCGTTCAAAACTGATCTCTTCTCTAAAAAATCCTCTTTCCCATAAGAAACAGTCCTTTGCTCCACCCCCAATGTAGGGGACGACACCTGCAGTGTCCTTCACCCTCTGACCCTCAGGTCAAGGGGTCAATCAAATGCATGGGAGAGGAATCAGGATCCTGACAGTTACCAATAATAGTAAAAAGTTTATAATAAATTATTGCATTCCTTTTTATTTCATAGAACAGCGCTTTTTCACTTCATAGAATCAGACTCAGGAAAATTTTGTATTTAAAAATAGATAAAATATTTTGAAAGGCTAGTTTTTACTGTAACTATTTTTGCAAAAACAGTGTGTAGATGTTATTCAGGGTTGCAAAAAACCCGGGTTTTTGTAGAAAAACCCAACCCGGGTGGCTTTTTCTGGGTTTTATTGGGCTTTTTTGGGTTCTATTGGGCTTTTCTGGGTTTTTCATGTTTTCAAGGGGACTTTTTCAAAAGAGAGGGCAGGGATAAGTATCTTATTTTAAAAAAGCTTATTTTAATATTAAGTTTAATTTTATAAATTGACTTCATATAGATAATTAATACAAATAAATTGATGTGAAAGTCTGAAAAAAGTTTCTTCTGACATCACGATAGAAAATGTTAAATGTACTCACACACATCACACATTTCAAACTTATTTTAACACAGGATTACTTTTTACTTATATTTTAATCTTAAAAAATATTTGAGGAACATTCTTTATTTGCATAGAAAGCGAATAAATGGCACTGAATAATCAATAGCCATACAATCAAATCTAGTCAGCAAGGTGACTCTCAGTCTCCAACGCAATTAGTTTTTTCACTATAGGTTAATTTTTTTTAGGCTAGACTACATAAATATTTCAATAGAATAGCTCTTTAATATAACAGAGGATTAAAAAAGAAATCAATCTTAGAAAAACCCACTTTAGGGTGGGTTTTACCCAGTAAAACCCGGGCGGGTTTATTTGGGCAGGTGGGTTTTTTGCAACCCTGTGTTATTTACTAATATAAAATAATAATTTTCGTCTTGTGGGATATGAGCAACTCAGTAAGTTAATAAGCTTACATTTAGCGTTACATGAACTACTCTTTCTGTTTAAAATGCAGAGGTCTGTCCAGGCCGAATTTACTACCGTTTAGCGGTACCTTCACAAATTTAACTTTAGGAAAAACGGTAGTTTCACAAAATCAACTTTAGGAAAAACGGTAGTTTCACAAAATTCTTTTTCTTAAAATTTTATTTTTGTATCCCTTAAGAAACGATAAATCCAAATTTTTGTGTTGATTTTTTAATATAATTTTTAATTTTTCACAAATTATATCTAAATTTTCTGAGAAAAACCTAGACAGAACCCTAAAATGATAACAGTTGTATTTAAGTAACTCATATTCTTTTTTAAAATTAATACTTTTAATGACGCTGTAATCAAAAAAGTATCCCATGTGAAAATTTTGTCATAAATTACAGCCTTTTACACACAAATTTTGTATTAAAACAAATAATACAATTTCTAAATATCTTGACATAGTTTTTAAAACATCCTGACATTTTATAACCCTTTATGTACAGTTGGGACTTTTAAGTGCCATTAATATTATTTCCATATAGCATAAAAATTGCACAAAATATCTCATTGGAACTTGTCTGTCTCTAAGATATGACTTTCAATTCACCATTACTAGTTGATCACACCCAATTATTTAAAACTGAACTTGAACTGCTATAGATTTATTTGGTTGTTAATAAATTTATAGCTTAAGTTCAGTTTCATTCAAGGAGGTCATTTTATGATACATTTCTTAATTTTATGCTTTCTATCTCGATCAATTTTGCAAGTAAGACTTTCATATTTTTTTTTTTGTCTTTCATATTCACTAAAATATGTATATGCAGATACATAATAGACAGTTAAATTAGTATAAGATTTTCAATGAGAAAATTTTATTCTTATCATTAAATATTTTCATAATAAAAAATTTTTTCATTGATCAAAATACATTTTTTAAATACATTATTTACAAAATCAGGGTATTGTCAAAAGAAGGTCGATTATTTAGGGTTCCATAGCCAAACAAAAATTGGGGACTGTTGATCTTGGTAGTTATACACTCATCATCTAAAGTTAAAGAATCTTAACAAGTTATAGACTTACAAGTGCATCTGCTTGTTCAGCTAAGAAAAAACCTTTCTCTAACTGAGGCTTTCCTTGAATGACATCTCCTACATAAAACATAATGAAATGTAATTATAAAAACTGTTTATTTTTACCAAAATGAATACAGTTTTTCATGTTAATTTGAAATTAGAAACTTTATATAATGAAACAAAATTTAAATTGAGAACTTTCAAAATCTTTGAAGCATCTTACTGCTGCCACCATAATGGTCCAATTTTCACAGAATCTACAACAATATTTAACAATTATTTGTAATTTTTTTTTGTTCCCCCTGTGATAGCATAAATAGACTTTAAAAAAATAATAATTATTGTATTGATCTAACATCGATTTTACTTATTTTGCAACAAGAGAACTGTTTACTGACAGTTAGAAGAGTTAAAAATTTTTGCATGTACAGAAGGGAACCGATTATCCGGAACGATCGGGACCCTCGCTAATCCGGATAACTGATTTTTCCGGTTTTCTGAATCGCTACAAAAAGCCGTTTTTTTTATTGCTAAACCCAACTAAAAAAATCATTTTTTTTTGGAAATAATCTTTAAAAGAAGAAAAAACGATGGAGTAGTACACTAATGATTATTTCCAAAATGATGGTAAGGTAAACATCTTTCAAAAAAAAAAGAAAAATCCTAGGAGGAAAAAAAATTTTTTTTTTTAAAAATGGCGGGAAAATTTATTGAATTTCGTTCCGGTTTTTTGGTTTTCTGGTTTCCGGATAACGGGTTCTGTACTGTATAACTATTTTTTTAATCAATATTATTTATTTATTTTCTTCCTTAAAAAGTACATTTTCTTAGAATCTATAGTAACAGTTTTCAATAATTTTTTTCTTCTCATTTCTTTCATGTTGAAACTTATAGTCATTCATATTTTACTCCCATTTCAATTAAATTATTTTACACATTTAAAAAAAAAAAAAACTTCAATAAGAATTTCAAATTTGAAAAAAACTTATTCAAAGTATTCTGGAAGATTAAAAAAAAAAATAGTTTTCGAAATTCGATTTAGCTTGAAAAGAACTATAAAGATAGCTATTTCAACATGTGTTGCAAGTTTTTTTCAATAATTTTGTTTAACCAAATCCAAGAAAAGGTACTTTTATTCAGAAAAATTGTGTTTTTGAGTCTGATTACTTAAATTAAATCACTTGATTTTAAAAAAAACATTGATTTAAATCAAATAATTTTTGTTTTTGGATAAAAAATTATGTATTTAAGTTAAAAACATTTTTCTTATTTAGGATAATTTATAAACAAATTTTTAAGGATGTGATTTTTAAAAGTCTGACCTCATGTATACAAAAGATTTTAAGCACAAAAATAAGAGGGTAATGTATGTAAATTATTATTTGACGTTCAAGCTAAACAAAATTTTTTTTAACAATATAAGATAAAATGTGGATTAAAGTGATATGAAACTTATAAACTATAACTTTTCATTGCATAATAATTGTATTATAAACATTGGCTGTATGCATAATAATTTGCAATTTAATAAACATATTTCAACTATAACAATTTAGTTTTATGTTTCAAAGAATAAAAAAGTTTAAAAACTCGTTAAACATGTAGTTCGTGTATAAAACTAATAAGAAAAGACTTGATTAGCAATGAGTAATTTAGAATAATTGCTTCCTGATCAGGGGTAATTGTGACACAATGTGAAAAGTCCTGAAAATTTTATGCCCAATAACTCAATATCAATTTATATACCATACATGTTTCTTGTTTAACATAATTTTTTAAACCAAGATTTATAACTAGATTACCTACCAATGAAGAATATCACACCTTAAGAGTAACTAATTTAAGAAAAAACTTAGTTTTTTACAAGAATCACAATATGAGATTTTAAAAACGTGTGAATATGAATTACGATACTGGATTCTAAAAACGCGAAAATATAAAGGAGATTTTGAATTTTAAATTGATTGAATACAAATTGTAATGCATGATTCTATATGAATAGGATTCGCATTGCATGGCTTTTAAATCACGTATAAATACAAAAATTGATGTTTGATATTACAAACACGTAAATTTGAATCACAATATTGGATTTCAAAAAAGAGTGAATATGAACCGCGACATACATTTTTAAATTGCTTGAATACAAATCACAGTGTGTAACTTTAAAATCATGTTACAAAAATAGATTTTTGATATTAATATTCCTTGAATTGCGATATTAGCTGATTCTAATGAATTTCCAAAAATTTAAAATTGCAAAAATCCAGCAAACCCTATCAAATTGGTGGAAGAACTACAATGCATATAAATTCTCCTAAACACGATATTTATTGAGCCAGGAATTTTATGAATTATTTTTGGGTATCTGAGCCGGAAAGATCTAATGATATAGAAAACTGTATAAGAATATCTTCTGAAGAAGGTCAAGGTCTATCATGGGTAATAGAGCCAATTTCAGCTGTTATTTTTACCTGTAGAATTGCATACTCCTCTTTTTCAGTATAAATATACCATAAAACTGAAGAATTAGTCCTCATGCAAAAGCAATAAGGCTAGCAACGATCAAAGTATGTATTTAATACTAGTAAGTCCGTATAATTCAAAAAATATCTTTGTACAGTTATTTTTTGTCAGGTAATTTGTTAATTTATAATCAACTTGAATTTTATTGAGAAATGTAAGCAGCTATAATATATAATTAAAATGGAAATTTTTTTCCCTCTCTTCTGCTAGCTGTCGTTTATAATTTTCATATATACATATCTTCTTTAACATACTTTACAACATTAATTTAACTTCTGCCGTTAAAGCAAAATGGCATTAAACTATGAAGCACTTACGTAAACAAAAAATATTCAGCTCTTGTTAAATAAATTTAAACTAATATACTTCATTTAACAGCTATAAAAAATTACCTAAACTAAGTGAGGTGTTTTTAGGAACACTTTTGGATGATTCTGAGCCATTACATTCAGACAGCGCCTTCAGTTCTTCTGCTCGACTTACGTATTCCAATAACTAAAGAAAAATGAAGTGCAAAATATATATTTCCTGTTTTTAAGTAAAAAAAAAAAATTGCATAGCATCAAAATTTATTTCTGAATCGAGTTACATTAAAAGCACTGCCCATAACAACAATCACAATTAGTGTTGGGGATAAAGTTTTGAGGAACATGGTAAGAGCCATGCTCTTATTCACAATTATAACAAATTCAAATTATCAATTCTAATATTCATTTGCTTCATTATCAAAAGAAATGGAGAAAAACAAAAGATTTTTCGTATGCTTCTGTATAAGTATTTAAACTTTTTTCTAGAACAGAAAATCGCTTTATATAAGTGCAAATTATCCTAAATGCTTTTTATAGGTACCTCATATATATTATTGCTATATATATGTGCTAAATAACTCTCCATAATTTTTGTGCTGTCTTTCCAGCTCCTGTAATCTTTGCATATCTAACTATTATTATCAAAACAATTATGAAAATTTTGTTACAAAAATAAAGAACTTTTATACAGAAAAAAAAAGAAAAAATTAAAGACAAATTTTTTATGCATTATATTAAACATGTTTCCAGCATTTGTAATTTTTTTTTGTCTTTAACCAATAACAATTTTTACATATGCAAAAATATAATGCATAAATATTTCTAATATTTAATACTAGTAAGTCCGTATAATTTGAAAAATATCTTAATATAGTTATTTTTTGTCAGGTAATTTGTTAATTTCAAATCAACTTGAATTTTTTTGAGAAATGTAAGCAGCTATAATATATAATTAAAATGGACATTTTACCCCCCTCACTTCTGCTAGCTGTCGTTTATAATTTTCATATATACATATCTTTTTTCTGAGATTTTCCAGAGACTCACATATCTAAGTATAAAATAATTCATAGGCAGTGTCAAATATTAAAAAATTATAAATTTTTAAGGTTGAAATAAAGAGAACTTAGATCATTTCTGAAGAATTTCACTATGCCAGCAATGTTAAAAATGTAAAACTAATATAAACTTTCATCCTACACTTTTTGTGCATTTGAAAGAAAGCATATATATATATCATTGAAATAATAAATAAATATATGAGTTAAGTATAACTTATAGAATAGGAAGAAGATAAGATGCACTTTCCTTGATCAATAATTTTAACATAAAAGCAATATATCAAGATTCATATTTAAATGAAGAAAATGGCAGAGCTTTTACTAAACTCACAATTTTTATAAAAGCGCAGAAAGCAGAACATTGTTTGAATAGTGGGCATAGGGATTAGAAACTAAACTAACCAGGTATTTCTTTTTAATTTAATAAAAAATAAAAAGAAATGCCTGGTTGGGACCAAATTTTCATAAAGATGTAAGTGGTAAATTCAGGATATATTTAGATTCTCTTTTCAAAGTAAAATGCATAAAAAGTATTAATGACTTATACGTGCATAATAAAAAAAAATTCTGAGTGCAAATAATAAAAATTAAAACAAATAAATAAAAATATTTAATGTAAATAAATTTAAACAAACATAGTTGTAAGATTACAAAGAATATTATTACTACAAATCTATAAGTATACAAAAAAATAAGAATTTTGAAAATTTTCATTTGTACCTTAAATTACCTTTTAGTGTTAATTAGAAAACAATAACTTGTATGATTTGTTCAGAAAGTTACATAAGTTACACGTAAATAAATATATAATTTCCAAATTTTAATCATAACCAGTACATTATCTAACATTATAATGCACTGGTTATGATTAAAATTCGGAAATTATATATTTATTTACATAGCTTTTAAATTTATAGTGTTTTCTCTTTTTTAATTAATCTAAGAAAAGTAAGAAATTACATTTCTTCATAAACATTGAAACCATTGCCAAAAACAAAGTTAGCAATATGAAATTATTACTATCCGATACTCTATGAAAAGCTTAACTAGATCAGTGCCTTACTGTTATGACTCTTTAACAAGATCCTCTTTTTCATTGCTATTTTTATTTTTCTATTTCACATTTTTCTATTTCACATTTTTTATTAATATTCAAGACAGTTCAGGTTGGCTCAGAGACATAAGCTCTGTATTCCTACATTGCAGATAATTCTTCTACAAAAAACCTAAAATAAGAGCTTTATAAAGAGCTGAAAAATGCAAATAGAAAAATAACTGCCAAAAACAAAACAAAAATAAGCCTTTATTAAGGGCTTTAAAAATAGTTTCATGAATAACTTTTCAATGATTTAAAGAACTTTCATGAACATTAAATATATTTGTTCTGCTTTTAAATTAATTTTTACATGATGCAATGAAAAGTCAATGTGTTGTACTTGCGTTCTAAACAATAAAAATTTTAACAAAAATATAAATTTTTAGTTCTATATAATTTACTATATAAAGTAAATTAAAGAAAAAAAAAGAAATACATTTTAAGGATATGGAATAATGCTGAATACATTTTCAAACTAAATAAAAAAGAAAGGATGAAATCAAAGTAAAAATAGCAAAATAAACAACTCACTTTTTTCCTAAGTTCTTTTCGTTTAGTTGAATTGCTTTCATCTGAAATAAAAACTATCATTTTAATCTATAAAAAAAGTAACTACCTTAAAACTATCAAAGATTATAATTAATTATGATTAAACTACATAATATATTATCATTCAAAAAAAATTCCAAAACATTTGACATTTTATTTAAAAAAAATCAATATTTAAATAGGTTTGAGATATTTCAATTGGAATTTACTCAACTTTCATTTCCTTCATTTAAATTCAATAAAAAAAAATTTTTCCCTATAAATCTGACTCAGTAACGTTAATCCATAATTTTAATACATATTAAACAAGATTAAACGCTTATTATTTTAACTTATACAAGTTACATAACAGTCAACAAAACTTAAATGAAAAAACAACAATTAATTTCACTTATTAAGAGTCAAATAACATCTACTGTATAAAAAAATTAGAATGTATATTTAAATTAGTTTAATGACAAAAGAACTAAAATACTAAAACCACTTAAACGTTTATTTTTATTCTTACTATTCAAATGAGGAACTAAATATTCCAAAGCTTGACTATAATATTTGATTGATTCTTTATACTCCTTGCTAGCATCCGCTTTAACAGCCTCTTTAACGAGATCAATCTATAATAAATCAGAAATTTATTAACTACAATGAAATGAAAAAGTTTTTTGTTTAATTTCAAGTATAAATTGTTGATCCACATGATCAAATATTATCCTTTAGCTAATGCCCAGTAACGTCGATAAGCAACATTTTTTGCACTTTTTATAAATTAAAATTCTTATTATTTGTTTAATTTTAATAAATTAAATTATAATTCAATTACTCTAACAATAAAATGGTTGAAAATTTTTAAAAGTAAACCAGATATATATATTTTTTTAATGGGCAATATATGTTACGTTTGTTTTGGGGGGATACATTGAAAAAATTGTTCTTGGGGACTTAGCGGTTCGTAAAAATCAAAAGATTGGCAAACACTGCTCTAGAATAGCTTTCCTTCAGATAGTTTTATAATTTAAATTTAATTTTTTCAAGCCACTTTTAAGTTACTGAAAACAGTGGACACACACAAAAGCATTGCAAGGCGTCATGGTGCCCGTGAGCATAGGATTGGGAACCCCTGATCTAAAAATATTTTTTTTTAAATATTTTTAATACGTAAATGTTATTTTACAAATATTATAATATGTAAAATATTTTTTGTTATACAGAAAAACCCTGGTAATTTCTGAACTACAGTCCTATTAACACACTTAAAAAATATCTTTTAAAATACATAAGAAACAATACTTTGAGATTCTAGATAGGCAAGATAGCAGTAGACATAAATATTAATCAAACATTGCACTATTAGCACATAAAACTTCAAAATTATTGTAAAGCAAAATAAAATAATACATACAAAAACATTACGCAAGACTTAATAGCTCAGTTTATATACCTTCGCTTAAAACACAAATATATGCCAGTTATTCTATTTTTACCAATTAACAAAAATAAAGTTACTAAGCAGTTTTTTCTTTCTTTTTTTGCAGGATTTTTTGGATATTATACTTAAACCACATCATTACAGTTTATTACAGGTCGTTACAAAACGTTGAAAGTTCCTAATAATATAACTGAATAGCAGTACATTAGAGAAAAGAATGATAAAAATGATTACGCCTTTATTGAAAGTCTCTGGGGTGGGCATGTGCTCCAAATCAACATAAGGATGATTGAAGAACTCCTCAAATGAAATCCTTTGGTTTGGATCTCTTTGCAACAAGCTGAGAATGAGTTCCCTGCACTTGGGTGAAACATTAGCTCCATATGGTATCTAATTTGAAGAGAAACAAAAATGTCATTCTAAATAAATTAATATCTCCAAAAAAATTGAAAATAAAGATTTTTAACCTTTTATTAAAGTAATCAGTCAAATAATAAATAACTTACTCGTACTGAAAATTAAGTGAATTTTTACAATAAGTACAAGCATTTATGGAATTACCTTCACTGTAAGCATTTTAAATATAATTCCTCGCAATTTATTATTTTTTTGAAATTTAATACGTTATAAATTATACTAGTTTTGTCAGACTTTTGAAAACCTTTATTTTCTTATATATAGACTAGTAAAATATTTCTGTTCTTATTTAGTTCTAGTAATTGATCATTTTTTTAGAAATAATTTTGTTACATTTGGCCTATTTTAAACATCCTTTAACATGCATAATTTTAACTCAAAAGATTAAATCAAAAACATTTTACTAATACCAGCCAATTGGTCATAAAAGATTTCCTAGCTCAGCATTTTTGCAGAAAATTTTAAAAACATGACAATGTTTAGATACAACAACATCAGTGGTAAATTATTCAACCAACATAATTTAATTGTGAGCTTTGATTGTACAAGAACTCGGATTTAACAAGCAAATTTTTTACAGGTTGTTCATTCATGCATTAATGATAAAATAATCTGCTATTTATTACATGCTATGCCAGATGAATTAGTCATTGCAAAATGAATATTCTCAAATCTAGTTGCTTGCATTTTCAACACAAAATTTCGAAAAATCAGACATCAGATCTGCTCTTCATTTTTAGTGATGCATTCATTTCATCAAGATATAAATTCGATAATGAATAAACTTAAAAAAAAAGTTTTTGATGACAAAAAATTTTTTTGGAAAGAAGACACAAATGAGGTCTAATGAAACAGTTACTTAGCAATACTTTTGACATCATTAGTGTCAAAAAATAATAAATTAAGCACAATAAGTATTGAACAAAAAATTTTTTTTAAAGAATAATGTTAAATGCCCATACATTTTCCCTTTCTTGAGATTTATAAATTAATCCCTTTTTAAGCAATTTCTAATTAGTATTTTTCTCTGAGTTTTTATTTTTTTTATAAAATCAGCCGTCTCATTTGTAATAAGTACCCTGATTTAATGAGTGAATTACTTCAGAATACTTGCTCTCGTTAAAAACGAATTTGATTGTAAACATATGTGTGTGTAGATATACTTGGTCCTGGTACCAGAACTAGTTCAGTACAGTGGTGGGCAGCTCAAGTTTAATTTGGTCTTGCAGGTGAAACTAAACCAAAATTTAAAAAAATTACAGACCAAATTAAGTTAATTTTAAAAAAATTAATCTCCTCTGTATTAACACCTTGCCATTCATCTTTATAAAAGTTAATTTAAAGTACTTTATTTTAGAAGTGCAAATATTTCATCATGTACTGAATTATTAGTTTATTTTGATAATCAAGTGACACATTTGAATAAAAATATTTTACTGCATAATTTGCAGATCAATTTCATAGTTTTCCTATGATGCTACCGATCAATACAGAGGTTCTACTAATGGGTATATATATGTATATAATACGGTGATGAATTTAATAAATAATTTTACTTTTAAGCAATATATTTAAAATAGTTATGCATTCTTATCAATAAAAGAAAAACAGGAATCCAAATATATACACTTTTCTTTTAAAAAAAAGCTTACTTCAATCGGATTAGAGCTTTTTATTTTCTCAGCAAGCTCCGTGAAAGTTTTAGATGAAAAAGGGGCTTGCCCAAAAAGACATTCTGAAAGACATGGAAAATTATTAAATCTAAGAATTTTTTACAAATCAAACAGTAACAAAAGTGCATAAAAATTTATAAATAAATATAAAGTTTTAAAATTTCGTAATCAATCATAAACACTTAGTAAAATAAATTTTACAGTTAAAGTTGATTTCTTAAATATATTCAACTTGTTTACACTTAGTAGTATGCAATCTGTTATTTTAATTACACAAGACAAATATTTTGCACAATTCAAGTACAATAAAGAGTGCTATCCCACAATTTCTTTTCCTTTTTTCTTTAATATTTTTGTAAACAGCCACTATAGTTCTTTCTCCTTTATCGCTATTTTTTATAGGCGTCTATTATGATAATTTTGTTTTATTAATGTGCAACATTTTTCTTTTCTACAGAAAATAAGGTCATATTATAAGTTCAAATTATAGGTATCAAGTATCCAGTTTTGCATATCCAGAACTTGCTGTATTTCAGGTAGTCAAGCTTTAACTGTATATCTTATCTATGTAAACAGAGTGTAACATAACGCTATGCAAGTACAAGAGTTAAGGTAAAAGGAGGGAATACTTACCATACAGTATAATTCCCACAGACCAAAGATCTACCCTAGCATCATATACTTGTTTTAAAAGAATTTCTGGAGCCATATATAAAGGAGAACCACGAAATGATGTGGCTTCTTTATTTGAATGTAGATACTGAGAAAGACCAAAATCTAAAAAATAAAATTGACAAAAACATGAAATAAGAGGATTAGTTACAGCTTTGTCATGTTTCTATAGATTGTAGAGCTGATTTTTACAATGCATAAAACTGCTATGTCTTAGTATGTTCTTCCAACAAGCTTTTAATTATAGATAAACTCTTTAATAATACCTTCATCAGTTATTACCTTCAACAGTTCCATAAAAAAAAAATCTGGGGTGTTTTAGACACCAAGTGATAAAATCTGAAATTTTGTGCAAAAAATTGATAACAAGATATCAATTAACATACTGTTCAAATTTAGTATACTTTTTTCAACAAAGACTTATAATTGATTTACCTATAAATAATGAATCACACTCTTATAGTAACTAATTCAAGAAAAAACTTAGTTCTTACAAGAATCCTGATATTGAACTTCAAAATCGTGTGAATATGTATCGCGATATTTGACCATTAGAACGCGAAAATAGAAATCGCGATATTGGGTTTTAAAATTGTGTGAATATGAACCGCCATATTGGATTTATGAATTGCATAAATACGAATTGCGATGCACGATTTTTAGATCCCATGAGTGCAAATAGCGACATTGGATTTCATATTCACATGAATACGAATGGCGATATGGATTTAAAAAGCGTGCAAATACAAATTGCGATATTAAATTTTTAAATCGTGTGAATATAATTCATAAGGAGTAAATTTTAAATCAAGTAAGTACGAAAATTGATGTTTAATATTAAAATTGTGTGAATAAGAATCGCCATACTTGGGAATTTAGGGGTAGCTCCAAATGTTAAAAATTATAAAATTCAGACAAACTAAAAAGAAAATCAAAATTGCGGAAGAGTCATATGTATGGAAATGTCTTGTTAAAGCAATTTAGCTAAGTTCCTAAAATTTAGATTTCAGAATTTAATTCTTACTTTAAATTTTAGATTGTGGTGAAAATTGCGTCGGATTATAAGTTTTAATTCGTGGATGAATGTTCGTGAGATACGGGGATTTCTGCAAAAAAATCACATGCCCTGCTCCTAGTTTCTAGCCCTGGAGGGATGATACAATAAACCCAGAATTCTGGGGAACACCCAAATACTATCACCCCTGAAAAATGCTCAGATTAAAAATTTGGGCAAGGCTTTTTGTTTCCCAAAAGTAAATAAACATTATATTAATGTGATCAGGGATGAGATTGGCCAAAAGGCAAAAAAGCTGAATTTCCACTTTAAATTTTATGTGTGTGCAATCGTTTAATAATAAATTCCTGACAATTTAAGATAACAAACAACAAAAATTGCTATTTTAGTTTGAAAAAATTACATGATAATCAGCAACTGTTTAGATAATTATTTTTCATATGATAAGAATTTTGCATTTTATATCATAAATAACAGCAGCATTATTATTTCTTAAATTTCAGTACTGAGTTAATCAACTCTTTTTCCACAAAAAATTGAATAATTTTTTAAGTGATTGCTTTTGTTTGCTATATCTTTTGTTTTTTTGTTGCTTAGTTTGCTGCAAACGCTTTATGTTTTACGAAACAAGCAAAAAATCCTTTAGTAAGGTCAAATTTCTCGTAATGTAGCTTGTGAATGAGGGGAAACAGATTGGTGATTAATTTAGTCGTTAGCCCATCTTCTCTCAAATCCAATTTTTTCTTTCTTTACCAGCTCTGTCACATTCTTCTTTGAAAGCACAGCATGTAAGTTTTGAATATGCCTATATATACTAATAATTGTTGATAGAAAAACAGTCACGTTTATAGTAACTAATTTTAAAAAAACCTACTTCTTACAAGAATCGCGATAATTGATTTTAAAGTCGTGTGAATACAAATCGTTACATAGGTTTTTAAAAACGCGTAAATACAAATAGTGATATTGGATTTTTAAATGTCATAAATAAGAATCATATTGTAGTATATTCAAATCGCGTGAATAAGAATCGAAATGTTAGCTAATTCCGGGCTTGAGACTTTTAAAAAGCTTGTTTGAAGCAGCAACGTTTGAATTACGAAAATACGAACTATCTGGCGGGCGGGTAAAAATGAGGAAAATCGTATATTCTGTGCGTAAAAGCGGCGAAAATAGCTAAAATGTAAAAATGTGGAAGGATTGACAGATATGTAGGTTGAATTTTCTGTTTATCTCTGAAACTCGGAAATAAATATAATTCTTTTAATTCAATGGGTAAATTTTTCGAAAAAGCAAAATATTTATTTAAAAATTTTCTTTCAAAAAAAGTGAAACTTTTAGATAATTGGAGCTTTTGATAAAAAGGCGGATATTCGAGACACAAAAGTAAAAAAAGCGGATATCCGCTGAAAAGCGGAAAAATCTCATTCCTGTGTGATATAACATTCTTGGTTGAATAAAAGCACCAAATCTTTTACATTTCCACCAATATTTTTCTAGCAAAATGACACTAAACAACTTCGCTGTTACATTAGAATAATATATGCTTTGAAATTGGTAAAATGGGAAATTTAAAAAAAAAATAGTTTCATACCTCCAAGTTTTAAAACTGGTTGCTTAAAATCAGTCAATAATATGTTTTGAGGTTTTAAATCCATGTGAGAAATATTGTTAGATCGAAGTACTTTGAGGGCAGCAGCTGAAAAAAAAAATTACCGTTTTCATAATATGAAGATTCAAAGAAAATTCAATACACAGTACAACATTAAAAAGTAAACATAATTCATAGATCATAATCATTGTTCATTTGACATAATCATTGTTAACATAATATGATAATGCACATGCACACAAACAGGAGATACTCTAATGAATTTGTAGATAATCTCAAGACCTTGCAGATATTATTCAAAATCAATTTTCCTTTTAAGAAATTTATATAATTATACAAAAAGAATTGCATTTGTGGAAGAAATATATTTCAAGAAGAGTTATTTTCTAAAAAAAATTAATATTTTTCACACTAACCATTAAATAAATATTAGAAACATATTTAAAATTTTTTATTATATTATAAAAACTGTTTTAGGACTAAGATTATGCTACCAAAGAATATGAGTTTGCCAATACTTTTGGATTGTGTGCTCAGATAGTTGATACATCTATTTGCTTTTATTATTATTATTATCTTTCCTTGATGGGCAGTGCAATTGAACCTGTCTATCTTCAATCTTATGTTAAGGTAAAAAAAAACTGAGATAAAAAGGCTTCAATTTAGAACGGTTTTAAATGTGGTCAGTTAAAAAATGATTATAAGTATAAATTTCCTGGCGTAGACCATGAGTGCAACCACATAATGCTCATTGAATTTATCTGACATAGCGAATATAAAATAAATGCGTGCAATAAACTATTTTTTTATCAAATAGAGCTATAAGCTAGCAATTATTACTGATGTTATCTTTAAAATGTGCGAAAAATTGAATCATTAAATTTGAAATAATTACTGACCCTTAACCTATCAAGAAATTCTATTTTGTTTTTCACTTATCTGATTTGAACAGTTTGTCGTAAAATATTGTAATGTCGACAGTGATTTTCCTGATGCTTTGAACTATCTGTATGCCAAGTTTCATAGCTTTAGGTCCGATGGTTTAGGAGTCTATAAAGAACACACATTCATTTATATGTATATAAATAGAGAGAGATTATACAGCATATATTACCTAGCTGCTGTAAAAACTTATGAACAACAGACTCTGGTAAACGTCTTCGAGACTTAATAAAATTAGATAAATCACCACCACTGCAATATTCTAAGATCAAGTAAATGTGTGTTGAATCCCACTAAATAATAAAAAAAAAATATGTATGGTCAAAATACAAACACAGAATAATTAATAAGATAATAATGTAAAACAGGAGCCTCCCAACGATGGTCAGGAAGCACCTGCAGACCTGAAATGATTTTATTTTGACTTATATTTAAAAATTAACAAAGTGAGAAAGTCTTAGAATAATTAAATAAAGAACAAAAATAATAGCTGACACACATGATGAGATTAAATTTTTTTATTTTATATAATGATAAGAAGTTTGCCCCAAAACCTCACATTTTAATTGTATTATTTCGTCGTGATTTAATGTTTTTTGTAAATTATTTTCAGTGAGATTATTTTCGGCACCTTTTTTTGTTGTTGTTTTTCGTCTGTCAGAATTTAAAAATTCTTGTAAATTATTTTTAATAGACCTACTGTTACTTTGCGATCGCTACGAAATAGCTGATGTCTTAAATTTTAATTCTGAACTCAATCTATTAATGAAAATAAAATATAAATAAATAAAAAAGATCCTCCATTATTTTTTTTAAACATTGTCTTTTATTTTATGCTATACAATTTAATAGAGATATTTCATATTTAACTTTGTTATAAAAGTTAGTTTTTTTTTTTTTTTAAATTTATATAATTTACGTAAGCATAATTATTTGATAAAATTTGATTATTTTTAAACCAAAAATCTTCAATTATTTTTAATTATAAAAAATTAAAACAAGGGCTACCTTTATTTAATTCTCTTTTATTTTTGAGAAAATTAAAACAAAGTTTACGCTATTTTTTTAAAAAAAATTTGGCTATAAGTTAAAACAAATAAACAAATTTAATTAAATAAAAAGTTAAGCATATGTTTTGAAGCTTTTGAATAAATTAACAGTATTCTCTTAAAATTCTTTTAATACTTGTTTGTTTCATAATTTGTCAGATAATCAGTATCATTTTTAAACAAATAAATCTTTAGTCCATATTATTTTCAAAAAAGAAAATACTGATAAATAGTTAAAAAAATTTACATTTATTTTTACATTTATGAAGTATAGAATTTGACCATTAGTTAATACAACTTTATTATTTTAAATAAATAAATAAAAGGTCTCACGATATTTCAAAAGCATGGTTTTTTTCAACAAATAATTCAAAAAATGTTTTATTAAAGTGAACATTTTTTTGGTTTATTTTTTAGTATAATTTTTTTTCTTTTAATTTTTAATGCATGCATGTAAAATATTTTGCTACAGTTTTATTATTATTCTTTAAATCAATAAATCTTAAGTCATTTTTAATTTTAAGAAATTAAAATAGAGCTTGTGTTTGTTTTTACTTTAAGACATCATTATTATTTTCATTGAAAAATTAAGCAATGCTATTGGTGTTATAGTACTTTTTTAGAATTAATTTTCTTTTTTTTGTAATAGATTTATTCCTCTTATTTATTTTTGATTGATTTAAAAATTTTGGAAAGATAATTTTTGATCATATGTTAAATCATGATACATCGCTATATCGCGATGTCGAGCAGACGATGTATCACAATGTACGAGGGTTGTAAATTAAATAGTGGCAACTTAACCTTGAAACTCACAGAAGGGTGGACATGCGCAAATAGGATATGGGAGCGGTGAGGTGGCGCCGTTGTTAATATGTAGAGTGTTAAATACAGTCGATCTGCTTAGAAGGGCAGTTGTTGTGTGGCGCTTAAGTGAGGAGTTTCGTTTCCATCGCTCTAAAGCATGTTTTCAAAAGGCTTAGTGACGAAAAAGACAAGATGCTTGAACCCATCGTGCTATTGTTCAATACGGCAAAGCATTTGCGCCACAGGCTTCCACTAATCTTCGATAGCATCCTGTTGCATTTTTGCCACGGGCAACCTCGATTTTAAGCGACAACCGCTGATCACCTTTTGAAAACATGCTTTAGAGAGATGGATACGAAACTCCTTACTTTAACGCCACACAACAACTACCCTTTCTAAGCAGATTGATGTTTTTTGCACTCTACACATCGACAACAGCTCCACTTAACCGTTCCCATATCCTATTTGCGCATGTCCGCCCTTCTGTGAGTTTCAAGGTTAAGTTGCCGCTATTTAATTTACAACCCTCGTAAAATTTCTTACATCGCCCAGTCCTAACAAATAATTATACGCAAACAGCACACAATTTTGTCTCTACAACTGAAATTTTCAGAACTTTTTAGAAGACTAATAATAACGGTAAGAAATATATAGGGAAAATTGTGAAACAGCCATGATGGATTAATATTAAAACATAATTACATTTATTAAACAATATTTTTATTTAGTTTTTATGTATAAAAACTAAATAAAAATCAATCTTAGATCACAAAGTAAAAAAAAAATGAAAACAAAACACTTTAAGTTTATGGAACAAAATAAACTAGAACAGAGTACCTGAAAATCTTTAAGTTCAACTATATTTTCATGTTTTACTTTTTTCAAGATGGATATCTCTGTAATGATATTATCCACGGCTGCTTTTGTCACAGTGGAAATGGGGATGCATTTTACAGCTACCACTTCCCTTTTGCCGCTCTGAAAAATATAATTTGTTCAACAAATGATTTAAACAAGAAAATAAAAAGAATTTACAACAGGTAATAACTGATTTCAATCATAAAACTTGATAAATGAAAACAGAAGTTCTGCTAATTTGTGTTTTCATACTTTGTTATGATTCTCCAGATGCCATACAGACATTTTTGAAACTCTCAATATTATCTTTTCAAGTAAATGTGAGTTAAGATAATTTTATGTTTGCAACAAAAAGTAGAAAATAATAATTAAAAAATTGGATTGAATAACTCTCGGAAAAAATTGTTTAGAACTTCAGGCATTTTAAGTTTATTCAGACTAAGGACCTGGAAAATACAGGTTTTTCCTAGAATCCTAATTCCTTGAGATTTTCTCCTTTAAAATAGTACCTATCCATTAACTGAGTACCTAATAAAATTTTATAAAAATAGTGCAACTTTGTCATCAATATGCTCACCAAACCTTATCAGTGCAGCAGTAAGATATTTATTCGCTGGTAGATTTTTAATTTTACATAAAATTTATTTCTCTCAGATAATAAACCTACTAATGATGCTAAAAACAAAATGCTGTTAATAAAACAAACTAATGAAAAAAAAAAGTTATACTAACATATTCAAGAATTTAAACATTTACAACATTACTTTAACATTTTCAGTTTCTATTCACAACAACTAGAATCACAAGAAGAAAAAAGATTTTTGTACTTGCAAATAAAATATATAAAAGAAGAAAACATGCTTTGAATTTGCTTATAGGCATTAAATTTGGTTCTTGTGATTTTTTTTCTTTTTAGTCTCATTTGGCACTACCCTGTCATCCATTTCTTATTTGTAGCTATCGTTATGGAAATGTTCCCAAATGAATTCAAACAAGTCAGTTAGCGCAAACTTTACTAAACAAACACATCCTCCTGCAGTTTCTAATAAATCACGACAAGCAATATTATGAATTTCATATTAATCTTTTGCTTATCTTAATTTAGCTATTGTTCGTATATTGTACATATCACGATCATGTTGACATTTTTCATAAAAACAATAGATGACAAATGCAGTTATTAAAAGTTAAAAGTACTATTTGACTGTTCCTTCACAAATCCGCATTTTTATTGTTAAAATTTGAAAGAGCACTTAAATGGTATTTTTATACAAACAAGGCTATTAAGAAATTAAATTAAATGAGAATGAATGAATAACAATAAAAAAATTTTAAGAATGCCAATAGCATATCCAAAAAATAATTTTTTTAACTGTGCCAAGCTATTGATAGAATCTGATCACTGCTTTCCAGAGAAAAGCACAGTAAATTTAAATAAATTTAGAATACTAAGTCTTATTATATACCAAAATCTTTCACATACAGAAAATATTTAAGCTTTCTAAATAACAGTACATGCAGACTATAAGCCAAACTATAAGAATTTATTATAGCAAGAATTATAAGCAATCAAAAACTAAGTAGAGGTGATTGTTCTTTTTCATTAATTGAAGACATTATGATGACAAAATATATATGTTTCACATAAAATTACAGAACAAATGTGATTTGCTCTATTACAAAACTTATGTAAGGATAGAGTTTAATCATATATAAATTAGCAACTTAATATAAGTAATCAATATTATTTCTTTTTGAATATAAGTGTTCATAAAAACACATACGTACTTTTTTATATGCTTTATAAACAGTAGCATAGGAACCTTTGCCTAATTTCTCAGTAAATAAAAAATCAGGTAATGAGGGTAAGAGAGACATTTTAAAAACGGAATTCGAAATAATCAGCTAATTCAAAATATTACAAATTTGTATTAAAAATTAATACATCGTTGTTATCAGATAAAACATATTTTTTAGTAACATTTAAATCTAAATAGAGCATTTTATAATTTAATTACAGAGAATTAAATGAAAATGACATAAAAAAATTCCTAATGGAGATTTCCACTTTTCAGACCTTTCCATCCTGACAATTTGATTCAACTTAGAAGTTGGAAAAATATTATAAAAACTAGCAAAAGACCAAATAAAGAACGCAAACTGATAGTATTCCGTTTACTCGGTTTAATCGATGTCATATGTCGAATCAATTGTTATCAAAGTCAGCTGGTAAACAGTAAAAAATCTGTGAATAACATTAAATACAATTCCGGTTGCCCATTTTTGCGTAACTCAGTCACTATGATTAAGTGCAAACAAATTTTCGGTTTCAGTTTTCTTTTCATTTTTCGTTCAAAGCAAGAATATTCTTATAAGAATGGGTCCCGCAGTGGACTGATCGTTAAGACACGGTTCCCAGCAGATCACCGAAGTCAAGCATCACTGGCTACAATCAGTGTGCGGGTGGGTGACCACTTAGATCAGTCTGCGTAGGGACCGAGGGTGTGCGGTATTGGTCCTCGTTAAACTGTGCTACCGTAAAGTGCTCGACTTCGCGCGCAGGTCGTCGGGCTACCGAAGCGGGGGTGCCATCCCCTCCGCAGAGGATCAAAATTGTGATGGCATGTCTTCGGATCATCCTCCGGGATGTTTCCCAGACCGTCGCCAATAGCCCATTGTGCAGCTCTAGTGCGACGTAAATTAACAACAACAACAACAACAACAAATCTTATAAGAATGTCATCAAGTGTAAATTGCTCTTTCATAATTTTTTAAAAGCTAATAAACGAATACTATCAGAATTAGTATTTTTAAATGGTAAGTAGAATTTTTAAGTAGGAACAATGCCTATTAAAAAGAACGATGTTTTTTAATGAATTTTTAATGATTTTTACTTAGCTAAACTTAATAGACTTTTTTACCCTATTGAACATACTTAAATCTTTATTTTATCATGCTACATATATAAAAATTTAAGCATTTAGCACTTATATAGTACAAAATAAGAAAATAATTCAAAAGAATTAAAGCAATTAAAAACTATACTTCCAGTGGGAAAACACTCCATGCAGCTGAAATTCCAAACGAAATTGAAACAAAAGAAACAATGAAAAAATGAAAAATGAAAATCATGAAAAAAAATACGACAACCGACTGGCATCTTCAGGGGGTACCAGCTCTGGAAGCCATAAATGCAAAACCTTTTCTATCGAGAGAGCATGACAAATGTTTAAATTGCTCTCTCTCTGTACCCCAAAGGTTTTGCCAAAGAGTCCAGGGGAAAAAAATATAATACAAAATATAAAATACATTAAGCGAATACAAAAGTATAAAATCAAGACTAATACATAAGAACAAAACGTTCAAAAACTTATTTGAAAACAAATCCTATAACCAAATTACACTACTAACTACCAAGCAACAACTAAATTGAAATAAACGGGAAAAAAAACGAATTTTTTGAGCGTTTTATTCTTATGTATTAGTCTTGATTTTATACCTTTGTATTTGCTTAATGTATTTTATATTTTGTATTGTATTTTCTCTTCCTGAACTTTGGCAAAACCTTTGGGGTACAGACAGAGCAATTTAGACACTTGTCGTGCTCTCTTGAAAGAAAAGGTTTTGAATTTATGGCTTCTGGAGTTGGTACCCCTCGAAGAAGTCAGCTTCGGTTGTAGAATTTTTTCATAATTTTCATTTCAATTTTTCATTACTTCTTTTATATAATACATTTAATTTTTATGTTATCCATAATTTAATGTGCTTATACGTAGAAAAAAAATCCAAACTTGCTTTCATTTTTTTTTTTTTTAAATAATTCTGGTGAGTTTGAAGTGAAAATTTGGTTTAGTTATTTATGTAATAGCAATCGTTGGTGACAAATTTAGAAAGAACTCACTTTTTTGGCAGAAAATTTTAATAACAAAAATCTTTCGCATGGGCTTAATTAAATATAACTGGCATGCCATTTTAATTACCTGTTCAATAAATATTATTATTTAATTACCAATTCTTGAACGTTTTCTATTAAAATAATTACATTTCCTTTTTATTTAGGATTTTAAGTCTTTAGTTTTAGTTTATGAAAGAATAGGGTAAACCAACCAGTGAAGGAACACTACCCTGTGAAGGAACATTTCATATATATTGATTAAAAATAAGAATTTGAAAGTTCTTCTTTAGATTGATTGGTAACAATAGCTTACTGCCAAACAATCGGAAGTCATCTAGCAATGTTTTGGATTACCTGGTCACATAAACTTCTCTAGAAAAAAATTTAAATTTGTTATTATCTCTGCAACACCTTGTTTCTTTGAAAAAATTATAAGGTGAATGTTTGTATTTATATGTTTGAAGTGGAATTAATTGCATGTAATAGTTTTATTTTTCTCACTGTGAAAAAGAGAATTCAAAATATAGCTATTGAAGTTACATTTTATTATTTTTTTTAAGCATTATAGCATAATAAAGTACTGAGATAAGCTGGTGTTTATTCACTGGATCACCAAACGATGAAAAACCAGTGAAGGAACAAGAGTTCCTTTACTGGATTTTTTTCTAAGTTAATGAAAATAAAAGATAAACTTTAATTTTCTTGTACCTTAAGTGATGTTACGCCTCAAAAGTATTTTAAAAATACGAAAAACAACTTCTAACCAGTGAGGGAACAGTCATGTTCCTTTACTGGGCATAGATTTCCCAGTGAATGAACAGTATGTGTTAATATGTTGACACTTTAACTTTCAATTCATGATAACAAAAAAAAAGTTAACATTTTCCAAGTATTTATATGTTATAATTTCAAGAAGCCATCTTCAAACTTCAAAAGTCAGAGTGACTGAATTCTTTGACACTAATTTCTATCGAAAATGAAACTACAAAAGCGGTTTAATCTGAAAATCTGCGCCTACTAAAGCAAGAAAAAATAAATTTTAATAAACTTTTACATTTGTATGCCATATGCGCATTATGAATATTACCTATAATAAATATTTATTCTAGAATACTTGGTGATATTCTTATTAATTAAACTAATGACTTTCTCTTTTAACCTTGAATGCGTTAATTGTTATCTATCTTGATCATATGTTTCTCAAATTAACATTTATGGTTGATATAAATTTTATATTTTACCGGTAGAAATATTGTTGTTGTAGTAGTAGTTAATTTACGTCGCACTAGAGCTGCACGATGGGCTATTGGCGACCGTCTGGGAAACACCCCTGAGGATGATCCGAAAACATGCCATCACAATTTTGATCCTCTGCGGAGGGAATGGCACCCCCGCTTCGGTAGCCCGACGACTTACATGCGAAGTCGAGCACTTTACGGTAGAGCAGTTTAACGATACCGCACACCCTCGGTCCCTACGCAGACTGATCCAAGTTTTCACCCACCAGCACACTGACCGCAGCCAGTGATGCTTGACTTCGGTGATCTGCTGGGAACCGTGTCTTAACAATCAGTCCACTGCGGGACGTAGAAATATTGTAATTTAGAATATGAAAAGCAATTTTTTACACCGTTGTGACTACACTAGTGAGACAATTAAAAAAAAAGTTCCTTTTTCAAATTCAGCTTCCTTTTCCAAAATTGAATTCAGAGAGATGTTTTCAGTATCTCTCGGGGCTGCCTATGACTCTCCACACGTTAATGGTGAAGGCATGAGAAATGTTGCCATATGAAGAGAGTCTGCTCTGCGCCACCCGTTGCTCATTTGGATCGCCAATCTTATTATCGGTACTTATACCAGCGATCATTACTTGGATCCACTATTTTTTATCGGTATCACAGGGGAAGTGGCATACCCTGGAGGTCGATGGACGCAACTTCAAGAGGGTGATGTGTGGTGTATATAAGAATAAAAATATATTACATAAAATAAATAAATAATAAAGTGGAAAAATGAAATTTTCAAACACCAAAATTTTTTGAATGTTAGATTGTGTAGCAATTAAAGTACTTGTCCCGCAGTGGACTGATCGTTAAGACACGGATCCCATCAGATCACCGAAGTCAAGCATCACTGGCTGCGGTCAGTGTGCGGGTGGGTAACCACTTGGATCAGTCTGCGTAGGGACCGAGGGTGTGCGATATTGGTCCTCGTCAAACTGTTCTACCGTAAAGTGCTCGACTTCGCATGCAGGTCGTTGGGCTACCAAAGAGGGGGTGCCTTCCCTGCAGAGGATCAAAATTGTGATGGCTTGTCTTCCGATTATCCATAGGGATGTTTCCCAGACCGTCGCCAATAGCCCATTGTGCAGCTCTAGTGCGACGCAAATGATTAAAGTACTTAAAACATAATTTTTTAATGCTTTATTGCAATTCATTTATTTATATATTTTTTTCTTAGAAACGACGACAGAATTAGACAGAGAATTCGATGAACAGATACAACTTGTTGATTGATTGCTGCTTTGAGAGAAGCCGGGAGGACGGAATTAAGATCACCGGACTTAAAGTACTGATCGTGAGAACTGTATTGATTGCTAATGCTGTGTTGGCATTAGCAATCAAAAGAATACAGACCGATGTCGTTTGTGATCGACACTGAGAAACAATGAGAGGAGAACAATGTCACAAATATCAAGTCAACTGTTCACTGTGTTCCATTCAAAAATCTTGGCGTGTTCATATCGATATGGACATTTCTGTCGAGAAAGGAGTGTTCAGATCACGTCCGAAAGTCACCAATGTGAGGCTTGTGTTATTGACATGTGTTATTGATTGATTATTATGTGTTATTGATGTCAACCTTCAGCTATGAAAAAATTCTCCAACTTATTATTGAGTTTACATGTTTTATATACTAGTGAATTGGAATTTTATTTTATTTTATTTTATTTTATTTTATAACCGTCGTTGAACAGCCGACCCAATTTCATGGGTTTACGACTACTTACGTTCAACTCCGTAGCCTTGTAAAATTGAACCAATCCAGAAGACAAGGAAACTCTTGGATCAGTACCCCCAGAGGTTTTGATTTGTTGTGGGAACATGGAGGACTTTGAGACTCGACAGATTTAACGTGCATCAGTCACCATTTACTACACGGGGAGTCTTTGGCCGGCGAGGATCGAACCCATGACTTCTTGGATATGGGCCCAGCGCCCTACCGACCAGGCTATCCCGGCCCCAGTGAATTGGAATTGAATAATTGTAGTAGTAAGCACGCTACAGGTCAAACAACACCTATAAAGGTTTCAAAGATATGATTTATTTCATCCGGTGTGACCGCACATTAACCCTTTGATGCAGATTTGACACTAGTGTCCCTTTAAAAAACATTTTTCTGTCGCTCTAATTAGAAGCAAAAATGCATTTTGGTATTTTTTAATTATAAGAAATAGTTTAGTAGTTATTAAAAAAGTCTGTTCGATTATCGGAATTATATGTGTACTAAAATGTAAAAATTGAAAAAAATATAGTTGGGATTTGTTTTTTGTTAAGGTCTTATTTTCATATTCTAGAATTTATCCATAATTGACTTTGTAAATTTAAGAAATTTCAGCTATTAATAACTGTTTTACTTAGATCTGAATAACAGCAAATTTGAAAGATTATTTTTCGAAAATGAGCTGCGTCTGGAAAATTTTACTTTTATTACAGAAAAAGATACCGACGTTTCATGCTATATTTCATAATCATAAATTACAGGACAGAATGAACAGAAGTGTTATGAAACATATAATTAAATTAAGAGTAATATAAAATTAAATTACCGTTGCTTTAAGAATTTCTTTTTAAACTATTTTTTTAAGGGTCAAGCAAGGCATAACAAAATTTTAAGGGAAATTTTCGCAGAATTATTTATTTAGAAACAAAATCGTGAGTCCATCCAAAATTGAATTTCTTTCTCTTTTAGAGTTTAAATGAATAATCAATATATATATATAT